ATAAAGATTATAGATTAATAAATATTGCACTAATTGAGCCAAACTATTCTCTAAGTTTTTAGGTCTTATAAGGAAAATTATTGTATCTAGGTTTGAAAATTGAATGAATTAAGAATTAAGAATTAAGTCATTCCTAAGTAAGGAATTAATACAATATGATTAATAAAGCATAATGAAAAAATTGAATGATTGTATAATATTTATAAATAATTTAGAATGTTTGCCTTAGCTATGGAATTGTTTTGTATTCAACTTGGATATTTTGACTGCCAATTTAAAATCACTTCGCTCCCAGGTTTTTATGCATTAGGACGATTATTTTCATTATTATTAGTTATTTATCCATGCTCATACGATATAAATAGTGAGTTTAAAGTATAAAGATCTGAAGTAACTGAAAATCAATTCTATTCTTTATTACAATTGCTAATAGATCTAATCAATTAGATATTCAATAATCCTTCATTTTAAAATTACATACAATTTGTGTTTAATTTGATAATTTTTTTCGGAATTGGTTTCGTTCTAATTGCTAATTATTATACAAAAGATACAATTGAAATGAATATTAGGAAATACAATTTAAAAAATATCATAATGAAATTAATTACTTTTTCCTTCATTTGTATTTCAGTAGCATTTTCAATACCTTTATTAATAATCGCTCTACAAAATTTACAAAGATCAAGCAAAATATAGAATTATGCTTGGTTTATTAATGATATAATATATTTGACGATACTCCATTTTATATCAATATTTTATTTTATTCTCTTAGAGGGTACTTTGATTGTGACGTAAGGAATATGCAAAAAATTATAAGTAAACTTCCAAGATTATGTAACATTCCTATTATAAATGATTCAACCTTATATTTTTGTTATGAGTTCTCCTATAGTGGCAATATATGGTTAATCAATTATATTTTTACTAATTACATTATTAGAACTTATTTCCATGTATATCTATTAATCATATTCTAATAATATCTAAAAAATTTTATTATTAATTATTCATTCTTGTGGAATAATAATTGCTATAAGTTCAATAACACAACTTTATTAACCTATGGTATATTTAATACTTTTATCACCTTTATTACTATATATTGGAATTTATGTACATAATTATTTGGAATTTTAAATATTTACATCAAATTATTAAAAATTGAATTTATTTGAAGTTAATAATTTAATATGTTCATCATTATCTATCTAAAGATAGACATTTTAATAAACTTGTATTCTCAATTCAATATATTTATTTAGACATTCTTAATAATGTTAGAATATTAAATGTTAATGTCAATTATATGACCAATATTCAAGTAATACAAATAAATTGATTATAATTCCTGATATTATTGAAGAAGAACTCTATAGTTAATTATTAGACAGAATGAAAAGATTACTACAAAGTTAAGAACCATAAGATTGCTTTTATTTTCTTATTCATTTCTTATATGCTCAATAATATCATGGTGAAGTATATGAGATATATAGTAAAGTTGAGAATAAGTTAATTTTAAATAATCTAACATATTTATAGAAAATTAAATGGAAATTCTTTATTATGATGATTAAATAAAATTTATATACAAATTTAAATGCAAAATTAAATGGAAATCATTTAGATAAAACAAAATTATCTTTAAAAATAAATTAGTTTGTTAAATCTGAAAGTTTTAATTAAAGTATCAAAGATGGATTGATTAATATAATTCAATAAAAATTATAATTGTAATAATTATTAGTCAAATGTTAAAATAGGATAGATTTTACATATTCTTATTATAATTTAATGGAAAATGTTGAAAAATAAGAAAAAATACTAAAATCAATCTATGATTCATTTCCAAGTTAAAGAAATTAATCCTAATTAATGTTTTTTTATGCTGAAATTAAATATGATTGGAAAAAAGCATTTGATTAATTATAAATCAATGCTATTGATAATTCAATATTAAGTATAGTAGCTGATGTAGATTTTAATAGATTAGCCAATAAAATGGCATATCTAATTTATTCTTATGATGATCGTAAACTTAAAATTATTTCATATTCCAAAAAGGCTCATGTTGTATTTGGATTTTAATAAAAATAATTTGAATTAATATTAACTCCTGATCCTTTAATTCCATCTGTTGTAAGAGAAATACATGATCAATATATAGCAGATTTTTTATAAAATGGAAAAGGCAATTATTTTAGATAAGTAGGTTAAAATTTTTGTTAACTTAAATCAGGTTTTATGTAAAACATAGAATTTTTTTTTGATCTCTATTTCGATAGTAATCAATCTTTTCGTTTTATTACATTCCTTAGTTGTTATGAATAAGCAGATCCTATGATATTAATTGATTAAAATAATAAAATTTAAGGAATAAATAAGGAATTATTTAAAAGATTGAATTTCCATCCAAAAATAATAGAATAATTAACGATAGAAAAATCACTTTATAATTTATCAGCAGATTTATTTATACACAATGATGTATTAAATGGAAATTAAGATCAATATTTATTCTAGTTTTATTTTCCTAAAGATTCATATTTTTCTTAAGAGTACACAACTAATACATAAAAAATATCAAGTTTAAGAAATAATTAAAAATTATTAACATATGAAGTGAATTGTGAAGTTCTAAGGAGAAAAACTTATAAAATAATTAAATTAAAGAAGATCTAAGAAAATAACAAAAATAATTTAACATCATCAACAGAAATACATATTATTTCAAATTAAAATCATCTTAAAGTAAATGATGAAGAATCAATTGTTATACCATATGAGAATTCATTACTAAAAGAATTATCTTCAAATATAATTATTTAAACTTAAAGAAAAACAGATGTGAAAATATTAAGCGAATTAGAAGATAATCATCAAGATTATTAAATTGAAAAAGAATTAATACATCATTATAGTGATTCTAATGTTATTGATGTTGATAATAAAACAATAAAAATATTAGGAAATATATATGACAATGATATAAGGAATTAAGAGAATTTTGTTTTGGAAGGTTCATAAGCATCTTCTATGGCTGGATTGAGAAAATCAGTATATTATAGAAAGTATACACTTGTAAATTAACTTAATGAATTAAATCCAGTTATACCAGTGTTAAATAAATTATTTGGATATTTAATTTTTGCTCTCATCAATTAAGTTATATTTCTATCAATTGTATTTATTTAATTAATTTTAGAATATATCTTTCTCAAGAAATGACTTTCATTCTCTCAATTATTATTATTAATCAATCTAAATTAATCATTATTTTATTGAACCTATGTAAAAGTTCTTCTTGACTCGTTATATGCTTTAAGATTACTCAATGTTAAATTTATAAAAAATCATTACTAAAGATTAACTTAATTATTATTTATAATTTATTACTCCTTTATTGATAGGTTCATATGATGAATTCAAAATAAACTTTTAGGATCATTTTTAAGATGAAACATTCTCAGAATTCATTAAAGATCATTATGTTGTCATTTAATAACAAACTAATCATTATGCTCCTATAAAATTACAAGAATATAATGTAACATTATTTAATGCATTTAGCATATTACTTGATGCTTTTTATAAATAAAAATAAATTTTAACAAGACCTTAAACAGTAAGAGGCACAAATCCTCATAATACATATTAATATAAGAATTATATTCTATTTGTTACTGTATTTGATAATATATCTGATTTAATGTATTAAGAGTCTATATCAAAAACAGAATTAGTTGTAAATAAATGGATAATAATGGTTGTTCCAATATCAATTACAGTAATACTTTCAGTGTTACTTATTGGATACTATTACAAAAATTTTAATAATTATTTAGAGAAATTCTTTGGTCTTAATTCACATATAGATTAGATAGAGTTGGATGCTGATTAAAATAGACAATTATTTATTCTTTAAAGTTTAAAATAAGGATCAGAATTGATTCACTTATATAAATTTAATATGATTGGAAAAGAAGAAATTTTAACAAAAGTTAAAGTCAAGGAAATCTAAAAGGAAATGAAAAATATGGGTAATGAATAAAACGAATTAAAATAATCTATAAAGATTTCAAAATTACCATTAATTTCTACTGTCTTTGCATTATTATTATAATATTTATTAATAGTTGGACCCTTAACTTATATTGGCAGTGATTATATGAGTAAATTCTCAAAAAGTATTCACTTTTTTAAATCAATTTCAGATATTGGTGTTTATGTACCTGCATCATTTTCATAGAAAGAAATCTTATATTTTTTCACTTTTTTCACTTATTATACAACTGAAGATAGAGCATTTTTTGTTGATTAAATTTAAAAAGCAGTAACAAAGATTGATACATTTTTAAAAATGGATATTGAAAATTCATAATTATAATTTTCTAATTAATTTTTAGAGAATTATGAATATTTATAATAAAATAATCTATGTCCATTATTAAATAGTTCTAATTATTTTGATTTTGATTACTTTTGTTCAAATTCATAAAATGGAATATTGAAATTGGGTTTAAGAGTTGCATTAACTAATTTTAATAATATATTAAAAACAGAATTAAGTATAAATTTTCCAATAACTCGTAAATTACCTCCAAAAGAAGAATTAGAAGCAGTTTATTTTTGTTCTGATATAATATCTGAAATTACTTCTAAAATGGAATAAGATATTTAATCATAAACTTAAACTATAGAAGAAATATATAATGTATTAAAATTTGATTACTTTTGATAGATAATAAATTCTATAAGTTTAACTTATACCATTATACTGATAATTGTTATTTAATTTTTAATATTCAAGTCGTTTAGAGTGAAATTAAATAGAACAAAAATGATCTCAATAATCTTTCCATTAGAAACTATTTTCTTAAATGATCATTTTGAAAGAGAACTTAGAAGAATGGTTACAAGTGAGAAATTGATTTGAGAATAGTTTGATATGAATTGATTTATTATTATATTACATTAAATATTATAGTTTCAATATGAAATTGGAGATGCTTGAATATTTGTTGATACAATTAAATTTCTAGGAAAATAAACTTAAATGGAAACATACTCTCTTTTATGTGATCTTAAGTCAAATATTGAGTATATTTTTTCTGATCTACCCTTTTATCTCAAATAGAGGGAGACAGAATTAATTTGAATCAATTATGGAAATACCAAAAGTAATTCTCCTTGAATTTTTAGAGTAAGTATATGTAGCTGAGTATTCAGTTTTGATAATGAATGCTTGGATAATAATATTGTTAATTTCCTTATGTTTTGAGAATTAGAAATAAAAAATAACTCAGATGAAAACATTTGAAACAAAATAATTATAATCAATTCCAATATATTATTTGATGCTTACTTCTAAAATAATAAATTATATGTTACTCTAACCTTTGCTTTGTTTGGGATTGTTTAATTTGTATACTAATTTTTAATCTAATCAAATTAATCTTTACTATATCATTTAAAATTTAGTATTTCTCCTGTTTGTTCATGTATTTTCAATAAGCTATTATATCTTAAATAATACTACTTTACTATTAACAGATAAAATGGATAAAAAAATTGAAGATGATTATTTAGATTTTATCATCTATATTCTTAGAATACTTTAATCCTATATATTTATTTTATTTGATAGTCCTATAACACTATATTTTTAAGGTGTAATATATCTTTCAATTAGTATAATTAGAATATACACAATATTGATTTAAATGAAGTATTGTGATTTCAATCATTGTTTTATTCTACTATTTTTTTCCTCTTCAGGATTGATTATGTCAATATGTATATTTGGAGAATAGAATTTCAATTTAGGATATTTAATGTTATTAAATCCATTACTGATATTCTGTCTTTGGAATATTTTAAGTTATTAAATTGAATTCATAATAGTCAATGATCCATAAAAATTATCTATAGATATGTTACATTTTTTAGTTTGTTTTATATTTGCAGATAATCAATTTTCTAAATAAAAAAATTGTCTTCTTAATGGTATTAAATTTAGCAAACATATCAAATATTGTTAATCAGTTAATTGTTCATGTTAAAATAAATACAATGCTATGGATCCATTAGAATTAAATCTAATTTAATTGGATATCTTTTAATCATTTTAAAATTCAATTGTTCAATAATTCAGATAACTCAATTTACATAAGAAAGGTAAACATTTTTATAAGATGTGTCATCTTTTATCAGCCTTACATTAATTAGGATATCATTAAGAAATCTATTATCGTATAGAAGATTAGAAATATAAATATTTGTTAACTTTTGTATAATAAATCAATTGGATTGTGTTTACTTTTATTATTAAAAAATAAATGTACAATAAATTTGCATAATAATTAGAAACAGACAATAAAGAATGTCTTGAATTATCTGCAAAAATAACAGCATTTTTACATTCTGAATCATTTCATCTTTAAATAAGAAATAATTTAATATCATTAATTAAATTGAAAATCTAAATCTTATCATCCCTTTTAATATTAAATAATGATGAATTATATGAATATATTGAAACTTTTGCTTTAGAAAGTATTAAAAGAGAAAATGAATTGAAATAAATATTTTTAAGATTTCCAAGTTCTAAAAACTAATCTATTTTAATGTTTTTTATGGGAGAAATTGTAAATGATTGGTATAGGGCCTATGAATTCTGTAATTTTAATTCATTTGATAATAATACTTATTAACAATTCATCTCAAGTGACATTAATAGTATCTCCAATAAAATGACTTATCTTGTATTTGTATATGAAAATAAGAAATTATATTTGTAAGGCATTTCTAAAAAGGCTTGTGAAATATTTGGATGGGATTAAGAATAATTTTCTTAATTAAAAGATGCAAATGTCCTTCTTCCTTATTGTATAAGAGATACTCATGATTAAGAGATAGATAAATTCTTATAGACAGGTAAAGGATTATATTTTAGAACAAAAGGTATCAATTTTTGTTAATGTAAAACTGGATATTTATAACCTATTCACTTTTTTTATGATATCTAATTTGATTAATAATCCTTTTTTTAATTTATCTCCTTTATTTAAAAACTAGAAACTCATTTAGGAATTTTGATTGTAGATGAAAATACAAAAATCTAAGGAATCAGTAAAGATTTCTTTAAGATGATGAATTTTTCATAATTATTAATTGATTCTATCCAAATTGAAAAATTATTATATGGATTATCATCATCATTGTTTTTTTCATTATCCTAATTTACTATAGAATCTACTACTAAATCAGTCATTACTTTTCCAAATGAAGAATTATGTTTATTAATGTAAAGTTAAAGTCTAAGTTAAAAAATAAATCTATGTAAATAAAGACATTCTTTTAATCTTTTTGAAGTACAAGGTGATATCCAAATAAGAAATTCATATAGTATCATTAGAATCTATAGAATGATGGAATGTGAAGCTTCTATTTAAACATAAAAATAAATTGAATATTATAATTCAGGTGAATTTCCATCTATTATAAATGATGAAGATGCTGTTATCAGTCCTTATGATGAATGCTTTTAGTTCTTTTCTCCTCTAAATGAAAATCAATAAAATTAATCAAATCAATACTTTTTAAGATCCACCTAAAAATAGATTACCAAGAAAATCTAATTGATTGAATCCAATATATAAAATAGTATTTCATAATTAGTTGAAAATGAATAATAAACAATTAAAATGTTAGGCAATATTTATTAAAATGAATAAGAAGATGATACAGTATCTTTCTAATAGGATGCATAATCAAATGCTTCTTATGAATAATTAAGAAAATCTCACTTCTATAAAAAGTACTGTTTATATTACACAATAATCAATTCTGATTCCATACAACCACATATACTCAAATCAACAATTAATTTATTTATGGTCTTATTTATCATTCTGATATTTATAATACTAGTAATAAATTTATTATTATATATTAGTTTTCTATATTAAAAGCATTTGATCTCTAAAAAGTAATCTTGTATTATGATTAAATTTAAATTAATCATTTTTTTATTGAACCAATTCATAAGTTTTACTTGGCTAGATTCACTGTATAGGATTACTTCTACCTCAGATACTTGAATTAGATTAGTGAAGCTGAAAATCAATTCTATTAATCATTCTCTATAGCAAATATAATTAGAGAATATTCAATAATGAGACTTAATTTTTAGGAACATTTTTAGGAATAAAAATTTCAAGAATTCTTATTTAACTAATATATGAATGTAAAATAATAAACAATTCATTATATTCCTATAAGTACTTAAGTTTACAATATTACAGTATAATCAGCTTTTGCTTAATTATTAGATGCATTCTATAAATAAGAATTAATTTATTTGTAGTCATTTAATGTCAATATCTTAGGTGTAGCACCTCATTAAACCTTTTAATATCTAAATTATATTTAATTTATTACTATTTTTGATGATATTTCTAATTAGATTTAATAGCAATTCTTAAATTAAATGAAAGCAACCGAAAATTTGTGGTTATTCCTTTGTTTTCCAACACAATTAATTTCAACTTTTTTTCTTTTAGGATCCTTTCTATATATAAGACATCTCAAAAGAATTATTGATAAATTCATCAATCTAAGATCATTTACAGATTTATAAAGTGTAAGTAAAGATCTTAAGAGACTTTCCTTTTTGATCAATCATCTCAAATCTGATTCAGATATGATATATAAATATAGATTTAATTTAAATGCAAAAGAATCAATTATTATGGAAAATATGAGAGGAAAAAATAATGTTAAGGATGAAACTCTATATAATAAATAAACACCTATAATTAAGTTAATTCAAATTTATTTCCTAATATTCATAGTATGTGCTGGAATCATAATGACCTTAACACTTATTATAACATCATTCTATTAACTGTTTCCTAAGACATTTAATTATTTTAAGTTATTCTCAGATGTTGGTGTTTATGTACCAGCAGCATTTTCACAAAAAGAAATTTTATATTTTTGGAATAGATTTCAATTCTTTACTTCTGAAGACAGAGTTTAATTTATGGAATAAGTTTCTATAGGTATAGAGAAAATTAATAAATTCATTTCAACTGATGTTTATGCAGATGAGTTACAATTTTCTAATGATTTTTTGAATTATTATTAATATATTGGATCAAACAATATATGTCCATTATTAAATAAAGTAATTAATTATTTAAATATTATAGAGTAATTATGTTGAATTTGATTATTTTTGTGAAAATTCAAAAAGTGGTATTTTGAAGAGAGGTCTATTACCAACTTTGAGTGATTTTAATTATTAATTGAAATATGAATTAGATAATGGATTAATTAATAGAACTATAATACCTATGGAAGAATTAGAAGCAGTTTATCTTTGTTCAGAAGTAATAAGTTCATTGTGTGATTAAATGTTGTAAGATATAGTAGATCAAATCAATAAATTAGATAATATTCTAAATGTAAATATTATTATTGATAATTTATAGTGGATACTTACATCATCTTTTATATTAATTGTTTTAGGATGTTTGATAGTTTATTTAAGAGTTTATCCAAGAATGAAAAATAAATTAAAGTATGTTAAAAAGATTACATAAATATTTCCATAAGATTCAATATTTTTAAATGATTATTTGGAAAGAGATATCAGGAAAATAATATTAATAGAATAAATTAATTGAATATTTTTATTAATTATATATTTATTACTATTTTTTTATTTTAAATTCCTAAATAATATCTATTATTAGTTAATTTTAAATTATATAATTCAATCAAATCAAAGTAATAAGAAATAGATCGGCGTTGTATTTATATATTTTTATAATATATATTTAATATTTTGATATTGTATATTCTTATCATTTAAATTCATCTAATCTCTAATTCATATCCTTCTTTAATTAATTGAATCTATGGCTCTCTTAATTTTTTATATATTGTCAGACAATATCTCAAGTTACCATTTTAAGTCATTATTATCTGTTTCTTCACCTTATTATTCAAATTGTTCAAAATTAATTAGAATTTCCTATTTAAATTAATCTTTCTTATATTTAATAAAAACTTTTTAAAAATTTTCAAAAAAATTGGTTTTTATGTAAAATTAAGAATTAATTACTTTCACTTCATCTTATGCATAATATATTTTAAATTCATTTAGCTTATTTTATTCATGCTTTAATAATAAATATTAATTTAGACTTTCAGATACTTATTGTTAATCAATAAAGTATATTCTTTGTTTAAATAAATCTATAAACTCAATTTTCTACTAAGTATTGTTTTTTTCTTGTATCATTTTATTATTTTTCAAATCAATTGAATGAGTGAATGGATATTTTGAATAAGGGTGTGTAATAGTAAAAGGTTCAATTTATTAACCCTATTTTAATAGTTAATATTGATAGCTAATTTGCTCAATTACATAAGAATCTTCAATATCAATTAAATCACCATCTATTTCTATTTAACAACTAGCAACCTATGTAATAAAACTTTATTAATTATAATTACTCTAATTCAAATTTGTGTTATTTGAAATAATTTTACAATATTCTTAAACTTATCTATAATCCTATTCATTCTAAATAACTANAATTAAAGTATGTTAAAAAGATTACATAAATATTTCCATAAGATTCAATATTTTTAAATGATTATTTGGAAAGAGATATCAGGAAAATAATATTAATAGAATAAATTAATTGAATATTTTTATTAATTATATATTTATTACTATTTTTTTATTTTAAATTCCTAAATAATATCTATTATTAGTTAATTTTAAATTATATAATTCAATCAAATCAAAGTAATAAGAAATAGATCGGCGTTGTATTTATATATTTTTATAATATATATTTAATATTTTGATATTGTATATTCTTATCATTTAAATTCATCTAATCTCTAATTCATATCCTTCTTTAATTAATTGAATCTATGGCTCTCTTAATTTTTTATATATTGTCAGACAATATCTCAAGTTACCATTTTAAGTCATTATTATCTGTTTCTTCACCTTATTATTCAAATTGTTCAAAATTAATTAGAATTTCCTATTTAAATTAATCTTTCTTATATTTAATAAAAACTTTTTAAAAATTTTCAAAAAAATTGGTTTTTATGTAAAATTAAGAATTAATTACTTTCACTTCATCTTATGCATAATATATTTTAAATTCATTTAGCTTATTTTATTCATGCTTTAATAATAAATATTAATTTAGACTTTCAGATACTTATTGTTAATCAATAAAGTATATTCTTTGTTTAAATAAATCTATAAACTCAATTTTCTACTAAGTATTGTTTTTTTCTTGTATCATTTTATTATTTTTCAAATCAATTGAATGAGTGAATGGATATTTTGAATAAGGGTGTGTAATAGTAAAAGGTTCAATTTATTAACCCTATTTTAATAGTTAATATTGATAGCTAATTTGCTCAATTACATAAGAATCTTCAATATCAATTAAATCACCATCTATTTCTATTTAACAACTAGCAACCTATGTAATAAAACTTTATTAATTATAATTACTCTAATTCAAATTTGTGTTATTTGAAATAATTTTACAATATTCTTAAACTTATCTATAATCCTATTCATTCTAAATAACTATTATTAATATAAAATCATTATATATTAAAATCATGTTCAAATCTGTTGTCTTCTATACAAACACTTATGATATTTAACAATTTTAATATGACAATTAAGAGATTATTTCTTAAATTAAAACTTATTAAATTTCTTTTAAGTTATAACCAAATAATCCAACTCCAATGAGTGGAAATGCAATTTATGTTATATTGTGTTCTTTGCTTTTTTAAAATACTTTTGTAATTAGAGATTTAATATGCAATAAATTATTTTCCAAACTCGCAGCTTGCCTATTAAATTTTGGATAAATTTAAAATAAATAATCTATTAAATTTTTATGATTTTTCAATTTTTAACAATGAATATCTATTATATCTTATTCTTAGATTTAAAACTTCCATTCTTATAATAATTCTTTTTTATTATTTTCCCCTTATATGAAGTTTATTATATTTTTGATTTAATCATTTTAAAGTCTTTCTTCACTAAAATCGACATTTTTCAAAAATTCTAAAACAATAGCTTAACATTAGATTTAAGATATATTCCCTTTTATAAATTTTATTTTTTTATTATATCCTATATTTAGAAGAAATCCTTCTGCTTTCAGTGGATTTATTATAGAGACACTTTAAATATCAATAATTACTTATTCTTTTTTTTCAATTTCTTTTAGATTTATCTTTTCAATTTTCTTTTAATCATTAACATCCAGAATAAGCACCTTACAAGTCTCATAAGATTGTTCTAAATTTTTTAAAAGGTTATAGATAATGTCAAAGTCTTGCTTCAAAAATTCAATAGTTTATATATATTTTCTTTAATCATATGAAACATAACAAAAGTCTTGCTATTTCAATATCTTGAGTATCTCATCTGAAAGTGATTTTTGCTTGATAAAAAGTTGAATTTTCATTCTATTATCCTAATATTTTTTTTCAATTTCTTTAATAATATCTTGAAATTTCAATATATCTTAGTTTTTCCCTATAATAATTACATTTTATTTATTATCCTTAGGGATAACTGATAAAATATCTTTATCTGTAATTTGTTTTGGAATTTCTAACTTTTGATACTTAAGAAATGAGATAAAAGGAAATTTAATTTCTTATTATTTTAGATCGTTAATGAATTAACTTTTTATCACATCTTCTATATCATTTCTAGAATATTTATTATAATGAATAACTTTGAATTGAAATTTCTATCCCTAAAGAGCGAATAATTTAATTTAGGCTATTTTTGCATTTTCTTGCTGTTGGAAGTTGTTTAAAATATTTTCAAATTCATCTTTATCAATATTTTCAGCAATGAATTTTTATAGTTATACATTATCATTATAGACATCAACAATCGATAATTGAAAATTTTCTAATTGTTATTTTATTCTTCTCTATTCTTCTTCGTATTAAGGAAGAATTGTTGATATTCTAATAATAAAATCATTTTAATTTTCGTTACGATTCGAACTCTTAATACCATCAGTGATATATTAAATCAATTATTTATCAAGCTAGCTCTGCAAATATTCCTTCCAAATTAATATTTTTTATTAATCCTTCATTCTTATTTGAATATATGGTGTATAAATATGTTATAACTTTTTTATGATATAATTACAGTCTTATTTAAATTTAGAAGGATTATTCAAAATTTCTTGCCAAGTTTCACATAAAATTTAAACTTCATATTCATTATAATTAATTTATTTTGGGAGGGATACATAGATACTTATATTATTAAACTCTTTTTACAAATTTTCAAATTGTTAATTAAAAAATTCATCTTCCTAAGGTTCTTTAAATTAAACATAATAATTATAACTATCATAAAAAATGTTATTACTACTATTCATAAATTTCATAAATTCTTACTAAATTACATCTAAATCTTTCTCATTTTTCTCCAAAACTAAATAGAGTTTATCAAACTTTAATTTTTAAATGATGTTTTTTATAAAATCACCATCTAATTATTTTTCAGGTTTTTATTATAAATTATTAAGATTAATGATCACAGGAAATATTTCTGTATTCATTTACTTTTTCATTTCTTTTTGATATTTTTACACCAATTTATAGATTATTTAGGATTCCTACTTTGTTTTAGTATCAATTTCAATGATATCATATTTATTTAAAGTATTGTAGACATTATTAACGAAGAATTGCATTTGTTTCTTTATATCATGTAATGTATAATTAGGAGTTGGGATGGAACATTAAAATTCTTTATAATTGCATTCAAAATGATACCCTTCTTTTCTAGCCTTAGATTCCAAATCTTAAAATATAAATTTATCAAATATTAGCATTTACAAATCAGCAGATATTCCAAACTTTTCTTAACCTTTGAATTGGTAAATTTTTTAATAAAATAAATAATCGGATTCATCAAATACTATTTCTTTCATCTAAAATTATAGATCTTTAAATTCTTTTGATAAATCATTTTTTTAGTTTTCTCCCATTATATGAGGGTAAGATAGTGTTAATTAGAATTGGCCATTAAAAAAAAATTTCTTAATAAATTAGATTAATTTCTCTTAATATGCTTCATCAAATGAATTCTCTTTTGCTATTTTTACAGAAATTTCATATCCTTTTTGTTATTCTTTATCTTCTGGGCAATTTTTTTTAACACTTATTTTTATATTCTACTATTTTATAGAGTCAAAATTTTTTAAAAAAGTTTCCGAATATTATGAGCCATCTTGTTACTAAATGCCTTAAAGAAGTTTTTTGTTAATAGATGGTCTTTTATAAGGATATAATTTTTTTTAGGTTTCTCTAAAATTCATTTTTTATTTAAAAATATTATTTATGTACCTTATAACAATATTATCTATTTGAACTTGTAAAATATGATTCAATGATCAAAACAAGTTTATAGAATTAGATTTTATAATAGGTTGTAAATTTTATAATTGTATATTTAATATTTTATATAATAATGGACTCTTAAATTGATTAATAAATGAAAATAAAGAAGGCTCATTTCATAAATTCAAGCATAAAAAGTAATTTATAAATATTGTACATTAATAGCAAATATAAAGAAGGATTATAAATTTATAAAGGAAATAGGAGCAGGTGGTTTTGGTGTAGTGTTTGAAACTGAATAAAAATCAACAGGTATAAAATGTATACTCATTAGGTATTAAAAGAGCAATTAAAGCAATTGCAAAAGATCGTGTAGTGGATAAGGAAAGTTTTAAGAATGAATTATCTATTCTTAGAAAGATTGTAATATTTAAATTTGAGTAGAGGATCATCCAAATATTTTAAAAATGTATGAGGTATATGAAACTGAGAAGACAGTTTATTTAGTAACAGAGTAAAGATAATATTTATGATAGAATGTGTGAGGGTGGTGAATTATTTTACTATATAACAAAGACTCAACATTTGACTGAGATGCAAGCAGCTAAGATAATGAGATAAATATTTACAGCAGTAGCATATCTACATGAACATAAAATAGTTCATAGAGATTTAAAGCCTGAGAATTTCTTATTAAAAAATAAGAATGATGAGTCTTCAATAAAATTGATTGATTTTGGATTAGCAAGATTTTTCAGAGAGGATGAAATTATGACTTAACCAAATGGGAGTTTATTTTATATAGCTCCAGAAATTATTAAAGGATAATATTCATATGAAGTTGATTATTGGTCATTGGGTGTGATATTATATGTAATGATGTGTGGATAACCACCATTCCCAGGTAGAAATCCTTAAGAGACTATAAAGAATATATAGAAAGGTATATTTACATTTTCAAAAGCTGGATTTAAGGGAGCAAGTGAAGAGGTAATTGTATAAATATTGAGGAGAGGTTAGGGATTTGATTTAGAAATTGTTAGTGATGGAACCTAAGAAAAGATTTAGTGCAAAATAAGCTTATAATCATCCTTGGGTATAGTAATAGGTTAGTCATGAATTAATGAATTTGAAATTACATGATGATGCAATAAAGGGTTTAGAGAAAATGATTAATGCATAATAGATGAAGAAAACAATGTTATTATATTTAGCAACATTTATACCTGAGAATGAAGTAACATCATTAAGATAATTATTTGTTTCTATGGATAAAGATGGGAATGGTATGATTTCATTAGATGAAATGATTGAAGGATTGACAGGATTTAAAAATATGAAACATAAAAATATGGATAAGAATTTTGTTACTCAATTATTTAAGTCAATGGATATAGATTAAAGTGGATAAGTAGATTACAGTGAATTTATAGCAGCATTTTTAGTGTGTCCATAATTTTAGAATGAGAGATTTATTGAAGAATAATTTAGAAGGATAGATTAAGATAATAGTGGAAGAATATCTAAAAACGAATTAATGGATATTTTTCATACTGATACTATATCTATAAGAGATATAGATATTGAAGAATTGATTAAATAAGCTGATTTAAATAAGGATGGGGAGGTATTAATATTGAAATTATATATAGATTGATTATTAAGAATTCATGATCCTTTTAAGGGATAGATTTGCTGATTAGATAAAGTAATGACTATTTGATAAAGTTATTAATAATTATTATGAATCAATAGTTTTAGCAGAACTGTCCATTTTCATCTAGGTAATACGATTTCTTGACATAATCGGATGACCATTTAGACAAAGGAAGAGTTAAACCAATCTAATCATTTGCTGATTACGTTCATGCACTTTAAGAACCAAGATAAGCAAAAATTCGTAGATAGCATACTGAAATTATCAAAAAATCTCCAACACTTCCTAAACTTGAACCTGTGATTCCAGAACTTTAGAAGATGAAAGAACATTTTGTTTTGAGTATGACTAAAAATATTGTACCTCAACAATGTCCAATAAATCAATCAACTACTCCAAGATGTAAGGTTTAAATGCCATTATCAATAACTCGAAAGTCAACAAATTGTTAAAAATAAATAAAATTATCTCCAATCACATCCAAAAGTGCTTTTTGTATAAAATTACCCTAAGAGGAAGATGATGGGATATTTTTGACTAAAATAGGAGGAGAAGAGACTATAAGAGGAATAGCTAGAATGTTTCATTAACATTCTTAACATCATCCAATAATTTAGAGTAATCAATCAAATAATTTATAAAGAAATTGATGATCCTTAAATGTATGAATTGAAATTTGCTACATTCCTAGAGTATATAATGGGGAAACCTGTATTCTTTAACATAGAAAATCTTAAATAGAAACATATTCCTTTGTAAATCACCAATGAATAATATAACCAGTTCAAGAGTTATCTCATAGTAATTAATAAATTTAAATTTAAGAGTAGTTTCATTAAATGTAATAAGGGTCCACCAGAGTTGATTTTTGAATTCAGTGCACTAATAGAATAATATAAATATTGTATTATAACAACTGAACAAACTTTTGCTCAAATATTCAATAAGAAGACAGAAAATAATACTGAAGAAACACCAGAATCTATAGTGAATTTAGCAGATTAGACATATTAAAAGATTCAAGAAGATTAAACTTTATGTGAATATTTCATTGGAATTAGAATGGATGAATAAGCTAAAAAATTAGGTAGGATAGTTCATCAAATGATGGGATGGGATTGTAGTGTTGATTATGTTTTGAATTACCTAAGGAAATCACATAAATAAATGAATCTAACAAATGTACATTTCACATTATTCAAATCTTATCTTGTGGAATCAATGAAAGATATAGGATTGAAAGAAGATTAAATAGAATTAATTACTCAAAGAATGGATGGATATAGAAGTTGTATAGTAAATTAAGATTGTTTACTTGATTTCTATTTTCAATCTTCTACTCTATTCAAAGTTTAAGTTAAGAAATATGAAGTACTTCTTTAAAAGGATCCCAGATTCAGAAATTTCCCTAATATAGCTGCGTTGTTAAGACATGCTCACTTCCTTCTGAAATATGTCACTCATTAACATCAACCATTGCTAACCAAAATTGATCTCAAGACTTTGCATAGACATTGTATTATTTAACATGAATGGATTGATGCTTTTAGAGACAATTTCTTTCATCTTATTAAAAGCTATACTCTCGATAGACTTATTCTATAAGATTATGCAGACACATGGTTTCAACTTAGATACACTATTATGAATCAATGCACTATTGAGAGTGTAATAGGTTAAAATGTCATAGATTCAGTTCAATTCAAAATTTAAATCAATCTCCAAGATAACGAAGTATATAGTGATCATTTCAGAAATGCCGATTATCAAATCAAGTCTCATATAAAGAAAATTATTGCTTTCATTTTCAAAAACTCTTAAATCTATAAATCTAATGACTTGAGGGTTATCCATTATCCACTCAAAATCACTGAGCAAACCTTTAATTTATTTGTTTAATTAATCAAATAAGTTATGCAAGAAGAAAAAGTGCCTGCTAATCTCGTCATTCTTGCAGAACAGATTTGTTAATATTATAGAAATAGCATTTGCAATCTGTGAATATAATCTATTAATGTACTATATATTCATAAATCATATATGTCTCATTATGTGAATGGTAATACTCCTCTTTGTCTAAGAATTGCCTCTAAAGCAGAAGCACTTTATCCCTTTTATCTCAAATATCCAGCCAAGATCACTGTGCTATTCTTTTTATTGTAAACTCCATTCTCATCAACCTTAATTGTTATTAACAATCATTACTTATCCAACATTAATTTATACACTTGAGTAATCACTGCTATTAAGAATCATATTAGTATATTAGCACTTTCTTGGAACATAAATATCAACAACCTATTTTTCATCATTGATCATTCCTGCATTTTCTTGAATTCTGTGAGCCATAATATTAAAAAAGATTTAAATTTTTTTATATATTTAATTAATTCATAAAACCTTAATCAGCATACCCAGAAACACAAAGTAATCCTTAAATTTAAATTATAATACTTTAATTCTTCAATAATAGATATATTTATTCATTATACATGAATTATCTTTTTCTCCAAATAGAAATTAGTCTTATTTATAGTAATAATTATAAATTTCATTATTTTTTTTAAGAGTATTTCAACAATCTACTTTAATCTACTCTTCTTATTCAACTTAATTTATTAAAGTTCCATTAAAAAGAATATAATAATAATAAAATAATTATTTTGCAAAATTCAAAAATTGTTATAAAATTCATCTGATTTAGATCTCATAATTTATGAATAAAGATTCTTTAAACTTTTATCTCATTAGTTGGCTGAGATGAACTTAAAAATAGGAGACAATTTTTGAACAAAAGTTAATTATCTTAGAGGACTTTTTCCAATTAAAACAAAAAATAAATTATATAAAAAATAATAAGATTATTTGGAGTTTGAAATTGTCATAAGGTTATAATAAATCTTTTTGGATTAAAATACTAATAAGGTAGTAGCATTATGATTCTTTTAACAATTTTGCTGTCTATTTAAATAGAAATTTTTAACAATTTATTTAGATTATAACTAATGTTGAATAATTCATAACAATAATTTGCAAATTAAACCACACATTACAAACATTTATTCAGCATAATACTGTATGTTATTAAACACTTTAATATTTGAATTAATATCATTTTTGATACCAAAATAGATATAAATTATTTACATGATAATAGAATCTTTCTTATGCATTTATAAATATAAATGATGATTAATATTAATTATTCTGTTTAAAATGGTTAAATTTTATTATTATATGTATTCATAAAATAAAATAGAATTAAATGTAATTGAAAATATCTACCTTTATAAATTGTATATGATCAATTAAATAATTTTAATTTTAAAAATTCGTTAAAAATGAGAAATCCTACATAAGAAACAAAATTTCCTAAAATTGAAAAAAGTCCAAGGTTAAATACAAACTAATCATAATTCCATAACAAATCAAATCAAAATATGACTAAATCTTATTACATATCTGAAAATGAAATGAAAGGATCTTCATAATTCAAAAGTAATAATATTTGTTAAGATTAGATGAATAATAGACTGACATAAAATTTTATAATAATCCTTAATCTTAAGGAACTGAAATTATTATAGAACTAAGTAAAAGATAATAACTTAATAAAAATTGCAAAGAATAGTTAGAAAAATTTATATAAAATTATTATGGATAAGGCAATATTAAAATTGTAGTAAATTTACTTGATAGACTCGGGGATAATCAATAGAAATAATAAAAGGAACAATATTAATTATTAAAAATGGCATTTAATCAAACAACAATTAATGAAGAAGATAAATTATTTCAATAGAGAATTTATAAATTTAAAGGTTAACCTGAAAATAATCTCTAATCTCTTATATAAACGATCATATACAGTGTTAATATTTTACAAACTTTTTAAGAATACATTTCATAGATTGGAGGTCATATTGAAGTTAATTATGAAGGATGTTATCTACAAATACCTTCTCCTTAAACTAGGTAAGTTGACGTAACAGAATTAGATTGTTTTTTTTTTGATACTATTTGTCATTATTTTGAAAATACAATTATCTTGCAAATTGAGTGTTAATCTAGTGCGGAAGCATTTGCTAAATTTAAAATCATAAATGATAAAGTTGGCTATAATATAATACAGAAGCAATTAGGGTTTATATTCAAAGGTATTATACTTTTGAAATTAGATATGTTAATTTGTTAATTAGGGAAAGTAACTGATTTTAATTTATTATTAAAACATGATTAACTTTATTGTTTGATTGAATATAATGGTAAAAGCATATAAGAATCATAAAATAAATTGAATGAGTTTCTTAAATCTAAGTAAATGATAAAGAAAGAAAGTGTGACTGACAGTATTCTATTTTATGATTTGCCTTATGATGAAGAGGAAATTAAATAAAAAATTAACTTTCTCAAAAGAGAATATCCTGATATATATATTGAAATATCTAATTGTCAAACTTTGGAGGACTCAAGATTAAAAATATAAATTACTTCAACTACTTTTTTACTCAAAGAATAAACTTCAACTGAATTTTTAAATCAAGCCAAAAAAATTAAAACTTAAATTGAAGAAATTTATTTGCCTTACAAAAATATAATAATTTCATAAAAACAAAAAGTTATTTGGGAAAACTATCTTTAGGAATACTTTTAACCATATTTGTCTTGTTTTAATGTACATCAAAATGGAGAAACTATAGAAATAGCATTAAAAACTAATTAAAAAAAATGGAGAGAGCTAGAAAAATAACTGGCTGATAAATTAAATTTTTACTCCTATTAACCTATTAAATTAGAAGCTAAAAGTTAAATAATAAACTAATTAAAAAAGTGTTAAAATAAAAATAAATTATTTAAACAGGTTTTTCAAAGCCTCTTTGCTGATTTCGAAAACTAGATTAACGTTACTATTAATGAAGTAGATGACAAAAATATTATATTTTAAGTCATTTTTGATAAAAGAAATTTTAATTAGTTAAAAATAGAGGATATTTTAAAAACCTAGTTTATTGCTAATTTGAATGTGAAAAGATAAAATTTGCTTTATGAAGATAGTCTCAAATATTTTTAGTTGTAATCTCCAGAATTAATATAAAATAATAATATTTTTGTACATTAAGCACCCTAACATGTTGCATATTTTCTAGGATTAGATGAGCATCTGGAAGATATAAAGGAATTTTTAAAAAAATTAAAAGGATAATATAAAAATGAATGGATAGAGTAAGAATTAACAATTGAAAATAAATTAATTTTTAACCTTTTATACTCAAAATATTGTATGAAAGATATTGAATTAAAGTTAGGAACAAGCATTGAATTTATAAAAGCTACTAATAGCAGTTAAAATAAGATTATCATATAAGGATTTTTAAACGAAATATTGAATCTATTAAAAAGATTATCAGAGTTAGAAAATAGAATGAATGCATATATTAAGATAAATAATTTAGAATTATCTTAACAGGAAATTGAAAAGTTAATTGGTAAACAACCAGAATTGTCATTAATTGAAGAATAGACTAGTAGCTATTTTTAATTCCAAAAAATTGTAAGTTTTTCACCTGAATAAGCAATTATTGAAAAATTAACATTTGATGGAAAAGAAATAAGTATAGTTAAGGGTGATATAACTCAAATAGAATGTGAGTCAATTGTGTATTAAATATTAAATGATAAATGTGAATTAGGAGATATTGGTCTTCAAAATCAATAAGTAAAAAATTTATTAAAAATGACTGATAATCATATATATGAATTTTTCAAAGAAATAATGAAGAATAGATCATAGTTAAATCCTGGAGATTTGTTTTATTACAAAGTTAATACTTAATGTCATGTAGATCATATTTTTAATATTTATCCTCCTACCTATAGGCAAGCAAAGACTTTGGCTCGTGACTAAAAAATCATAGAGTAATTGGTTAGTAATATTTTTTAAATGGCTAAGGAGAAAAAAATTAAATAAATTGCTTTTCCAATTATTAGTGTTGAAATTTTTGGTTTTTATATGAGTATGGCTAGTTAAATACTTTTAAAAGCAATTATACATAATTTGTTTCAAGAAGATTGTGATGTTAAATAAATATTTATACTTGAAAACGATGACTCAAGATGTAAAAAATTAATCGATCATTTTAATCAAATTGTATCTGATAACCCAGAATAAAAGACAGAAAATTATTTAAAATAATAATGGTAGTGGTTCGAGTAAGATCACTATGAGGATTATGATGATTATGAAGTTAATAGAAAAATTTGTAAAATGTATAGCTTATTCGAGAAAGGCCAAGATTAATAATTTAATATATTATATCCTTATAGTAAATATCCTGGGACACATCGAATAGATTTAGACTAACAAAAAATTTGGGATAAAACTCACAACAATTCTGAACAAAGTATAATTTCGATTGATAACTTTGGAGAGAGAAAATATTATATAGATGGAAGACTAGTAAAAGATGATTTAAATAGATATTTGATACAATAGGAAATCTAAGGTAAGAGAAGATTCGAAATTTTTTATAAATTTTATGAAATTCATTTAACTTCTTAAGGACACTTTTAAAAAAATCTTTAATTTGGAAATATTAGGGCAATCTAATTTATTCCATATGAAAAGCCAAATTTTGAAGATGTTTTGATTTAATAGAATTCTTAACTTAAAATTGAGAAAATGATTGGAACATCCTAGTTAAATGGATCTTAAAGCATTCACTATGACATTAATTAACAGAAAAAAGTGAAATATGATTAATTATTGATACATACTTCAAATGATGATGAAAATATTCCAAAACAAAAACTATTGGAATTATTGCAAAATTCAACTGTAAAAAAAACAAAAACATCTTAAACCCACTTTACAACTTAATAAACTACTTAAAAATAATCAGAATAGATATTTTTAATTCGTTCTCCTACAAATAATCGCAAATTACTATTACCTAAAAGAGAACCTTTATAAGATAAAAATTGATTAAAATGAATGAAATTGATAATATATAGAAAATAAATTAACTAAATAAATAACTAATTTCATATATTAAATTATAATATTTCTTGTTTAATCAAAAATTTAGATTAAATACTGAATAGATCTAATATTACAATAATTAATCATTTTTTTCCTTTAAATTAGTTAATTTAATTGAAAATAACGAATTTTTAGTACTTGAATAAATTACTTTCAATAATTACCCTCTGAAGTTGTTAGTTCTGTTAAAAAAAAATAAATAGGTAAATTGCAAGATCTCAAAGAATATTAGATATTTTAGTACATCTAATTACTTATACTAATCAGTGTATATAACTAATAAACATATCAATCATTCAAAAAAAAAAAATTTGGTGAAAATGTAAACTTATTTCATTTTAATATTGTGTAAAAGAATCGTAAGCACTTTTATTTTACAAACATAATAAATTAAAATGGTCTTAATTTCTTTAACCATTAGACGTTAAAATTATGTAAATTTATAGTAAAATATCATTTCAAATAAAATATATTGGTTTTATAAGCTATTCATAATTGATACAAGANGAGAGAGAAAATATTATATAGATGGAAGACTAGTAAAAGATGATTTAAATAGATATTTGATACAATAGGAAATCTAAGGTAAGAGAAGATTCGAAATTTTTTATAAATTTTATGAAATTCATTTAACTTCTTAAGGACACTTTTAAAAAAATCTTTAATTTGGAAATATTAGGGCAATCTAATTTATTCCATATGAAAAGCCAAATTTTGAAGATGTTTTGATTTAATAGAATTCTTAACTTAAAATTGAGAAAATGATTGGAACATCCTAGTTAAATGGATCTTAAAGCATTCACTATGACATTAATTAACAGAAAAAAGTGAAATATGATTAATTATTGATACATACTTCAAATGATGATGAAAATATTCCAAAACAAAAACTATTGGAATTATTGCAAAATTCAACTGTAAAAAAAACAAAAACATCTTAAACCCACTTTACAACTTAATAAACTACTTAAAAATAATCAGAATAGATATTTTTAATTCGTTCTCCTACAAATAATCGCAAATTACTATTACCTAAAAGAGAACCTTTATAAGATAAAAATTGATTAAAATGAATGAAATTGATAATATATAGAAAATAAATTAACTAAATAAATAACTAATTTCATATATTAAATTATAATATTTCTTGTTTAATCAAAAATTTAGATTAAATACTGAATAGATCTAATATTACAATAATTAATCATTTTTTTCCTTTAAATTAGTTAATTTAATTGAAAATAACGAATTTTTAGTACTTGAATAAATTACTTTCAATAATTACCCTCTGAAGTTGTTAGTTCTGTTAAAAAAAAATAAATAGGTAAATTGCAAGATCTCAAAGAATATTAGATATTTTAGTACATCTAATTACTTATACTAATCAGTGTATATAACTAATAAACATATCAATCATTCAAAAAAAAAAAATTTGGTGAAAATGTAAACTTATTTCATTTTAATATTGTGTAAAAGAATCGTAAGCACTTTTATTTTACAAACATAATAAATTAAAATGGTCTTAATTTCTTTAACCATTAGACGTTAAAATTATGTAAATTTATAGTAAAATATCATTTCAAATAAAATATATTGGTTTTATAAGCTATTCATAATTGATACAAGAGTTAAAGAGAAATGAGAGTATGCAAACTAAATTTTAAGTAAATTGAAGAAGAACTTGTTCGTAATAGCATTAGTTTAAGAGAATAATATACTTTATGTTAAATACTTCTTTAAAAAACAAGTGCAACAATCAAATTATTATGATAATTAGCAAAAGTTGGTTTAAATGATCTAATAAATTATTTTGATCCAATATAATTTTGTGAGATACTTAGAGTATGAAGGATAAATATATAGTCTGAACCTTACTTAACAAAAAGATTGAATTTATTTATATTATTTGCGGATTTCAAAATATATCATAAAATAAAGATTAAATTTGATCAAATTGAACATTATTTTCTAAACACAAGTAAATTTTCTCAAAAATTCAACTAAAAAAGCTCAAATTAATAAAAAATATATAATAAATCAAAAAAATAAAATAATTAGTTGAAAAATAAATGATTATCTCACATTTATTTTTTACTTTATTTAATTTTATTGTTTATCCTTGTCCACAATCATATAAAATATTAAAAGTATCAATAATTTTATTGAAAATATTAAGGTATCTAAAATTATTCATTTATTTACCAAATAAATCTATTTTTGTTTAATTAAACATGTTTTATATTATTAATTTAATTGAAAATATATGGCATTTTAAATTTATGTAATTACATAATTTTTCAATATATTAACATATAATGTATTTTAGAATTTTGAAACTTAATATTTATGATATATAACTCAAATTTTTTAACATATAGAGAAAGAGGTTGTGCATATATTAATTATATGATAACGAATTATTTTTTTAAATAACATAAGTTAATTAATTCAAGCCTAATATTATTTCAGAGAATAGATGGAATAAATGAGAATTATAAATATATTCTTTCGATCTGATTAAATAGTGAAGTATTTTAATTTATACTATTTTTGGCAAGATTTATTTTCTAAGTCTTTTTGGTTTCATCTAGCTGGAAATAACCCCAAAAATAAAAGATCAATATAAGTTACCAGATAGCAACGGCTTTTTGGCTGTGATTGCAAAATTATGATTATATTGAAGGTGTACTCTAAATTTTGAATATTTATTAAATGTTCCCAAAAACATGTGAAATTTAATGAAAGCTTAATGGAAAAGCAAATAAGCTTAAAAAAATTGATCAAACAAAAAGTAGAATGGGTATAGGAATCAATTTGAGCTTTTTCTAATTCTAAATTTAGTTTTGGTGTAATTATTTATATTCTCACCTAATCTTGAAGCTGATACTTGAATTAGCTGTCGAGTAGTTACCAATTTTTATGTATTATCATAATTTTTATTATATTATACTAAAACTGTTATTATTTCAATTCTATGCACTAACGCAGTATAGCGGATTTTGCTGTTATCAATTCCATTTGCATATCCAACTATTCCAATGCTATGATTTATTTTTTTGCATAGTTTGAGATCATATTTAAAGGATCATATAAATTGATATAATATTTTTAAAATATCATATTCAAACAAGAAATAGAATAAGCAGCTTAAATCATTTCATCAATTCATATTTAATTCAATTCTTTTTCATCAGTTTGTAAATAAGGAACCAAATATTATTATTAAAAATATGAATAGTATGGCAATCCAGATTATCAAATGAATAATTTTTTTCATAAAAATTCTCACTGGTATAAGCGAACATCATGAGTATTAAAAATCTATGAGAATTTAATAGGAATGTTATTCAAAATATACAATTCTTAATCCTAACTATTTTAGTTTGAAAATAATTAAGGCAAACATTTTTTAGAATTAGTGTAAAGTTTTTATATAAATTTTAGATTATTCTGGAATTATTAGTGTAATTCAATTTTTATGTTAGTTATCTATGATATTCAATAAGTGATTCTTTCAGATTAGATACAATGTAGATCAGTATCTAATTTCATTGAGAAGATTTATAAGACCTCAGACAATGAGAATTTCTAAAAGTATTACTATCTTTTCAATTTAATTTTTTTTCTTTACCATTTTACTTTATAAAATTATAGTATATAGAGTCTTAGTGTTCTGTGATTTTGATATTTTAGCATATAATAAAATAATAAAGAGGTTTTAAGAAAAGAAATATATTTTCCATATTTTTGTATATAGAATTTAAATAATTTTCTTGAGCTATGTTAAAGTCAATTAATATAAAGCTACCAGAAGCGAATAGATCTAAAACACTAAAACTCATCTTTTTAATTAAGAGAAGTATATTTAAATGAATGTTTTCATTTTTTTTTTTCTTTATTTGTTTCCATCAATTCTTTTTTTCATTCATACCCATACTTTATATAAAAAAGATCCTTGAAAAATCAATAAGGTTAATTTCAGCTAATTGAATAGGCCTTTGTGCCATAATAAGCATTGAAAACAAAAATTAAAATATAACTGAAAAGATGGACATCTACAAAAAATCTTTAACCTCATCATAGATTAACATTCAAATTTGTATTGATCAGGCTCCGAGGCTTACTAAAATTTTTGTACTAATACAATAATCAATATTAATATTAATGATGTAATTTATTTCTTAAATCAAATTCTGATGCTTGAAAAAAAAAAATTTAATATGTATTAAAAGTAAGCAAATAAATTAGATTTATTCATGTATTTAACTTGAATATGTTATTAGTTATTACTTAATACTTTTAATGAATAAATAATTCATCATATTTGCATTGTTGCTAGCTTTAGCAACAAGTCAAACTTTTAGTATAACACCATGCACATGTGCATAATTGTTATCAGAGGGAGATTGTTTAAAAAATACTTCACTTGGGTGCTCATGGGACAGTACAAAGAAAGTTTGTGCTGTTTCTACAACCCCAGTCACTCCAATAGTGACCTATGCTGCATATTGTGATACCTTTGCTGAAGCAGATTGTCCAAAAGCCAAACCATGTACAGATTGCGGTAATTATGCTGCATGTGCATGGGTTGATAAAAAATGCACATTCTTTACAGGATGTACAGCTTTTGCTAAAACACTTGATTCTGATTGTTAAGCAATTAGTAATAGATGTATTACAGATGGAACTCATTGTGTTGAAATTGATGCTTGTAGCACATACAAGAAACAACTTCCTTGTGTCAAAAATGCTGCAGGAAGCTTATGTTATTGGGATACAACAAATAATACTTGTGTAGATGCTAATACTTGTGATAAATTACCAACAACATTTGCTACTGATAAAGAATGCAGAGATGTGATATCAACATGTACAACAAAAACTGGAGGTGGATGTGTTGATAGTGGAAATAATTGCAGTGATTAAACATTAGAAATTCAATGTGTTTGGAATAAATTAAGATCAACAGCATGTTACTGGGATGGAGCAGCATGTAAAGACAGAATTTGTGATAATGCACCAGCAACATTAACTACTGATGAAACTTGCAAAACCTTTAGAACTGATGGAACATGCACAACTAAAGCTAATGGAGGATGTGTTACCAGAACTACTTGTGCAGCTGCAACTATCTAAGCTGCTTGTATTAAGAATAGTTCAGGAGGTGATTGCTATTGGACTGGAACTGCATGTGTAGACAAGACATGTACAAATGCACCAACTACTATGACAACCAATTCAGCTTGTGCTGGATTTGTGACTGGATGTATCACTAAATCAGGTGGAGGATGTGTTGCTAATGGAGCATGCTCAGCTGCAAATGTCTAAGCAGCTTGTGTGAAAAATACTTCTGGAACTGATTGCATTTGGGATACAACATGCAAAGAAAAGACATGTGCAAATGCACCAACTACTAATAATACTCATGATTTGTGTACATCATACTTATCAACTTGTACAGTAAAAACAGGAGGTGGATGCTAAAATAGAACTTGTGCAAATGCTCCTACAACATTGACAACTAATGATGCATGTGAAGCATATTTACCAGGAAATAACTGTATAACTAAAACTGGAGGTGGATGTGTAACAAATACTACTTGTTCAAATATTACCTTAGAAGCTGCTTGTGTTAAAAATTCATCTGGAGCCACTTGTTTCTATGATACTGCAAGTTCAAGTTGCAAAGATAAAATTTGTTCAAATGCCCCATCAACTAATAATACTCATGATTTATGCGTTGCCTTTTTATCAACTTGTACAGTAAATTCAACCAATGCAGGTTGTGTTGATAAAACATGCGAAAACTCATTAGCCTAAGCTATTTGCGATAAAGATTACAATAATAAAGCCTGTATTTGGAAAGGAAAATGCTATAAAAGAGAATGTGTACTAGCTTCATCAACCACATCAACTCATGCAGATTGCTAAACATATGATTCAAGTTGTACTTTGAGTAATACTGGTTCTGGATGTGTTCCACTTCCCCTTAGATGTGAAGCAATTACAATAGAATCTGCTTGTAATATTAGATTATAAGTTACAAATGGAGTAAAATCATACCCAACTTGTGGTTGGAATGGTTCATAATGTATAGATAAGGCTTGTTCCACTGCTCCAAGAACAACATCAACAACAAGTGATTGCAATAGTTACAAATCAGGTTGTGTTGCTAATAATCCAGTCAATGGATCTATATCAGGTTGCTAAGACTTACCAACAACTTGTGCAGCTAGAAAATCAATTGAAAATTGTGAAATCTCAAGAGTAGGATTACCAACATGCTTGTGGAATACTGCTACATCTGCTTGTGTTGAAAAATCTTGTTCCACTGCTAGTATTACAACAACCACAGGATTCTTGGTATCCTTTACTTCTTCAAATTGTTCTGGATATTTGAATACTTGTATTGCCAATAACACAGCAGATGGATGCATTCCAAAACCATCAAGTTGTTCTTCTTTGACATCTACAAATTGTTTAACTGGGTCAAAAGTAAATGGAGATTGTTATTGGAATGGATCTAGTTGTGTTGATAGAACATGTACAAACATTTCATTAACTACTCACTCTGGTTGTTAAGGAGTATTGAATACATGTACAGTAAATAATGCAAAAACAACTTGTTAAGCTTTAGCAGCAGCTTGTACTTCCTATGGATCAGCTGAAAATTGTAAAATAACATCTAATTCAAAAAATTGTATATGGACTGGGTCTGCTTGTAGAAATGCAACTTGTTTAGATGCATCAGATAGTAATTTATATGATTCAGATACAGAGTGTTTAAATTATCCAACACCTAGTGAAACTTGCACAGTTGTTTACAAAACTGGAGGATTAGGATGTGTGGCAAGATCAGCTAATTGCAGTGATTATGTGACATCAGCTTAATGTTATAGAACTTTAACAGCCAATTCAGACGACTGTACTTGGAAATCCACTTATAATAAATGCTTTTCTAATACATCTCTCTAAGGTGCATGCTCAACCTTTTAAGGAACTTAAGCTTAATGTTAATAAATTAAAGTAGGTTGTACTAATACTGTAAGTGCTACTGAAACAGATACCTGCACATTTTCTTGTACTGTTATAACTGGATTAACAAGTGCAACTCACTCAACATGTTAAGGATATAATACTACTTGTACTGTTAATGTTGCTGGAACAGCATGCATTACATTATAAGCAGCTTGCAGTGGTTACACAGTAACAGGTGACTGTGTTAGAAAAACTGATGGTTCTAGATGCTTTTGGGATTCTGCAGCTGCAGGAGGTAGCGGTGCTTGCGTAGATTTTGCCGCAGCCAATTGTGCTTCTGTTACAAGTTTAACAAGTGCAACTCATTCAACATGCTAAGCATATCACACTTCTTGCACAGTTAATGCTGGTGGAACAGCATGTTTAGAGTAATAAGCAGCTTGCAGTAGTTACACAGCAACAGGCAACTGTGTTAGAAAAACTGATGGTTCCAGATGCTTTTGGGATTCTGCTGCTGCAGGAGGTAGCGGTGCTTGTGTAGATTTTGCTGCAGCTAATTGTGCTTCTATTACAGGATTAACAGGTGCAACTCATTCAACATGTTAAGCATATCACACTTCTTGCACAGTTAATGTTGCTGGAACAGAATGTTAAGAGTAATAAGCTGCATGCAGTAGTTATACAGCCACCACTGATTGTGCTTTACGAACCGATGGTTTGAAATGTTTTTGGGATGGTACTGCTAGTGGTGGTAGTGGTGCTTGCGTAGATATTACTTCCTCTAATTGTGCTACTGTAACAGGATTAACAAGTGCAACTCATTCAACATGTTAAGCATATCATACTTCTTGTACGGTTAATGTTGCTGGAACAGCATGCCTCTAATAATAAGCAACTTGCAGTAGTTATACAACTGCCCCTACTTGTGCTTAACGAACTGATGGTTTGAAATGTTTTTGGGATGCTACTGCTAGTGGTGGTACCGGTGGTTGTGTAGATATTACTTCAGCTAATTGTGCTACTGTCACAGGATTAACAGGTGCAACACATTCAACATGTTAAGCTTATAATTCAGTTTGCCTCTCTAATATAGCTGGAACTGCATGCTTAGCATTTAGTACATGCGAAGCAATTACTGGATCAAATCTTACTTGGACCATTTGTTAAGGTTATAGTAATACATGTAGTGTAAGGAGAGATGGAAACGGTTGTGTAACAATACAATCTTAATGTTCAGGATACACAACAATGACCAGTTGTTATAGATCTACTGCAGGATATTGTACTGCAAATAGTGGTGATACTGCCTGTCAATCTATATCAGCTTCAACTACTTGTGAAGCAATAAAATTAGGAGCATCATTTAGTTTTGATGATACAAAATGCAATACATTTAAAACTGGTTGCATAGCATAATCCACAACAGGATGCTAAACCAAAACATGTGCTAATAAAACAACTCCATTTGACCATTCTGCTTGTAATACTTGGTTGAGTACTTGTACTTCAAATGCAGCTTCTTCACCTACAGCATGTGTAACTTTGCCAGCCACATGCGCTGGTTTGACTCAAGCAGCATGCGTTTGGGCAGTTGAAGGTGAATGTGTTGTTTAAGGAACATCTTGTGTCAAAAAGACCTGTGATACAGCTGCAGCAGATACAAACTTTGACTCACATGCTGAATGTATAGGATATTTATCAACATGCACTGTTGCAAGAGTAGGAGGCTGCTAAGCAAGAGCTGCTTGTTCCACATATAAATCAAGTTAATAATGTAAATTCAATTCGAGCAATTAGAAATGCTTCTGGAATTCAACTAATAAGACATGTGTTGATTTAAATTGCGGCAATATTGAAGCCACAACTTCATATGATACTCATGCTGAATGTGTTGCAGTTGATGCAACACTTCTTTGCACAGTTAGAGCTTCAAATGGAGCTGCTGCTTCTGGTTGTATGGCTAGAGGAGCATGTAGTTCTTATTAAATTGAGGATTAATGCAGAACTAATGCAAGCGGAGGTGTATGCGTTTGGAATACAAATTTAGCCTAAGCAGTATGTTAAGATAAATCATGCACTACTGCCCCAACTGCAACAGCAACCCATACTGATTGTGATGCCTATTTTTCCACAGCTACAATAAAATGCACAGTTGTTGCCACACCAGATGCAAATGGTGGTGCACCAGTTTTAGGAGGTTGCCAATAAACAGCAGCATGTTCAACTTATATACATTAAGAATAATGCAGATTCAATGCTTCTGGAGATGCTTGTGGATGGAATGGTACTTAATGTGCAGATAAGTCATGCGCTACTGCACCTGCAACTGCTGATTATGATGATAACGATAAATGCAGAGCTTATTTCAATAATAAATGTACAGTTGCAAGCTCAGGATAAGGTTGTGTTGATATACCAGATACATGCGAAACTATGACAGAAAAACAATGTGTTAGTGATAAGAACGGTAAATCATGTTATTGGAATGGAACAGCCTGTATTACAAGAACTTGTGAAAATGCACCAGAAGCAACAGCAACTGCTGATGAATGTAATACATATTTGGCTGGATGTACTTTAGATTCAGTAAAATGTAAGACAAAGGTTTGTGAAGATTTTGCTTTTGCCACAGATGCTCTATGCAAATAAGCATTAAGTACATGTACTACAAATGGAACAAATTGTGTAACAAGAGGAACTTGCTTCCAAGCTTAGAACTAGGCTGGTTGTGTTACTTCATCAACAAATCAACAATGTGAATGGATGCCAGCTGTGGGTTCCAATCAAGCATATTGTACAATAAAGACATGTAATACAGCACCTGTTACATTAACTTCTGAAGCAGCCTGTGCTGGTTATTTCACAAATTGCACAACAAAGAATGGTGGTGGATGTGTTACTAAGTCAACTTGTGCAGCTGTTACTGTTGATGCTGCTTGTACAACTGCTCTTAATGGTACAATCTGCGCTTGGGATAGTGCATTAAATAAATGCAGAGATAAAGATTGTCAAGATTTCAGTGGAACTACTCATGCTGCATGCTAAGCTTAAAGAGCTGGATGTACTGCTGGAGCTAATGGAAAATGTGCTAGAGTTTAAAATTGTGAATAAACTACAATTAGAAGTGCTTGCATTGAAGGAACAAATGGACCATGTTTGTGGATTAATGATTATGTTAACACTGATGGATCTAAAGGAGCTTGCTTTAGATATACTTCATGTAAGAGTTTGTCTTGGAATTCTGATGCTTCATGCAAATGGATAAGTAACTAATGCACAACTAATGGATCTAATTGTGTTGGAATAACTTTATGCTCTGAAACTAACACAGATGGTGGATGTGTAACAGGATATGATGGAGCTTGTATTTAATCAGTCCCAGCTTTGAATTCTGCAGATCCAAAAGTTTGTAAACCATATACATCTTGTGCTGATGCTTTCTATACAACTCATTCTGATTGTCAAATTGCTAGTAGTAAATGTACAACAAATGGAACAACTGGTTGCATTGCATTAGGTGCTTGTTCATCTTACACTTCATAAGCAGGATGTTATTTCAACGATAAGGGAGTTGTTTTAACATCTGGAGCTATTACTTCAACCGGTATTTGTACTTGGGATACAACAGCAAATAGTTGCAGAGATTAATCATGTGCTGATTTGACAGGAACAACTCATGCAACATGTTCTTCATAATTATCAACATGTACATCAGATGGTACAACTTGTTTACTCAAAGGAGCATGCTCATCATACACTACTTAAACTGCCTGCACAACAGCAGTTGGATCTGATGGAGCTTGTTATTGGGAACTTGCATCTGCTACAAACAATAACACTGCTAAATGTAGATTACTTACATGTGCTGATATTCAAAATGGTACAGCAACCAATGTTTGCTCAGTAGCCTTGTCTTCTTGTGTTTCAAATGGAACTGCTTGCATAACAAAAGCTAACTGCTCAACCTATACAACTAAGACAGCATGTAACTCAGGTGGATTGGATGGAATTTGTGTATTCACTTAATCAACTGCTACAGGAGCTGCTGCTGGTACTGGAACTTGCGCATTAATGACAGCTTGTACCACTGCTAATAATGATTAAGTTGCTTGTTAAGCTGCTAGGGATAGATGTTCATGGACACCAGCATCAGGAACTGGAGCAACTGCAGTTGCTAGTAAATGTGCCACTCACACTTGTGCTACAAACTAAGCCACAAATGGAGCTTGCACAAGATTTTTGAATTGGGATAAAAAGACATAACAAGTTTGTACTCTTGTCAGTGGAGCTTGCACAGCAGCAGACCCTTCAACTTTATCATCAAATGATTGCTTCTTGGTTTCAGGATATACATATACTTGGAATGCATCAACAAGCAAATGCGGAGTTTGCACTGCACCTGTTGTTTAACCAAATAATACAGATAACAATACAAATAACACAAATAATTAAACAACAACTGACTCAGGATATATTCTTGGATTATCTACAATTATTTTTGGATACCTCATGTTCTGATGAGAATGATTTTATAAATTTATATAGGGAAAAATTATCTTAAATTTAAAAAATTAATATTTAAAAATAGGTATCTATTGGTAAAACCTAAAAAATACCTTCTTATTCTTGTAATTAAAATTCTATAAAAATTTAATTTGTAATTTTACTTATTTATTCTTTAGTATGGTCTCAGATATAATTTTCGAATATATACAGAAAAAAGTCAAGAAACTATTTTAACCAAAAATTTCTGAATTTGATTAATTATAAAATATGCTTATATATAAAAATTATTGGAAAATGTTTTGTAAGTTGTTATTTTATTTTTTAATTATTTTCATACTAAATTACTTCATATTAATTGGATGATATATGAAAAATGTTGTAGTTATTCTAAGAAATATTAATTAATTAAAATAATTGCAACTATGCGGTCCAATAATTAGTTTATTAAGAATGAAAATATTTATGCCCATGTATAACTATCATGCTGAATAAATCATGAAGCTCTTCTTCTGTTTAATAAAAGTAAAAATTAAAAAAAAAGTCTGCATATCAATTACTCATTTTTCTTCAAATTATAACATTAATAGAACAGGGTGGTTGAAGTAAGAGTAAATATATAATTTAATTATTTTCCTTCTCTAATTTCAATTATTTTCTCAAAGGATTGGTTTTCATTTTAAGTCCTAAATTTTCATAAACATTTAACGCCATTTTTTCCTTATTAAAAGCTTTATTTAGAAATATTAATTTTTTAATGAATATCAATAATAATTATCAGAATTAGTTTGTTTCTGCATATAATAAAATTATCTTCTATTTAATTTTTAGCTTTTTCTAAAAATGATTGGGAACAATCTCAATGGAATTATCAGAAAATTTATCATTATTATCCATTCTAATTAATGGTGATCAGTATTGTACATTAAGAAATACAACCTTCCTCTTAAATTCTTATGAAAGGATTTATTAATAATAAAGTTCTAAATAAATATCATTTCTAAATGTTCCCTAAAATTAATTTAAGTTTACTTTAAAAAAATAAAAAGATGCACCAAAACAAAAATATTTGATAATACTGAAAAACAATTATAAAATTATAAAGATTATTCAAATCTAATCTTTTAAATTAATAAGATTCTATTAAATTTTACTTATAAAATTGACTTGGATGGTCTGGCTGGCTTGATTCTTAATAATAGGCATTGGAATAGGTAATTGTAATCATTATTTCATCTCAATTTATACCTTAGAACTAACAATGTGCCTAAACTTCTTGTGGTTCCTTTTTCTCTTAAATAGGCTTCTCTCTAATAACAAAAAATATAAATATAATATATTTATTTTTGTATCAGAATAATAATAATAATAAATGCTTATACAGAAAAATAAAAACTATTGTAATTACTAAATAAGATCAAAATGGATAAACAAATCCAATTAATTGTTTAAAAGTAGGAAATACCTTTATAATTATTATGCTTTGTTTATAATAGAAAAAGATTATCTCAAAAATATGAGATTTTAAAACTATTGAAACTTTAATATTAAAACAGACATTTTAAAAAAATATCCCTTTAGTAAAATCAGGAGATATTCTTCTATTAGTTGGATTGAATCAAAAAATTTAATAAATAAAATGATTAAGCAAACATTGGTAAAAATATGTTAATTATAAATATCTTATTATTATATCTTATATCCATAATCATATTTTCTATTAGTATTTCAATTTGAAAGTTCCAATTAATATTTCTAAGGAATGATTGTATTTTTAGGGAAAAACCTATGACATGGATATAATAAATTCTCCGTTATTACTCACTGTCCCATAAAAGAAATTGGTTCCAAAATATATAGACTATTCTAAGCGGCATCTTTCAATGTCTAGCCTTGATTAATTTGAGAAAGCCAACTTTAAGACATTAAGATAATATCCATTCTTCGAAATCAGGAGTTATTTACTTGGAATGTATTACATTGGAAAGAAGATTTCACAAGGCTAATTACCTCCATTATCAAAAAGTGATCCACTTTTAATAAATTAACCTTTAGAATCAGAAGTATAAATATAGATTTAATTATGGGGTTTTGGAGTTCTTGTTTGAATTGCAAAAATTTAATCTGTTATAAAACTTATTCTGTATCCAAATCCATCCATTAAAATTTTTTATTTAATACTCCATCCTTCCTTTTATTCCATCATCAGAAAAATTTCATTATTCTATTAACAAGATAAAAGCATATTACCTGATTAGTTAAATGATAATCCCCAAACTTCTGTATTTGATTCAGTAATTATTTAGATTGGTTAATTTGTTGTTGAAAAAAAAAACATGATATTTCCGTTCTTATGCCCAGTTACAATTAAATCATCAGATTATCTAACTTCTAAACAATTAACATATTCGCAATCATCAATATATTATTTGAAATCCCAATTAATTGCTTCTTCCCCATTATACTGTATTGGGTACATAATGAATAATCCTCTATATTCGGTTGTTATAACAAATGTAAATCTTTATTTAAATAGAAATTTGATATAAATGATCCTATATCTAAAAGATTAGGTTCTAAGATAGGAGAGTTAGTATTAACCATCATTTTATCCTTTTACGATCTAATAAATCTAAACCATTGAGTTTGAAAAAATTTCTGAAGTTACCATTAAAGTATTATCAAAGTTTATTGAAAAAGTATAATTAACCATCCTATTAGGTCTAATAAATTCATAACGTATATTTTGAAATTTAAACTTTAATTGAGGTTTATTAAAAATATTTTGAATTACTTCCATTAAATTTTATCTATTTTACTAAAGTACTAGCTTATCAATACAAGAATAAATCTTTTATAAAAATAATCCATCAATTTATTATTTTTCTTATTTGACCTATTTTTTGTATTCTTTAGGTTCATATTTAATCAACTCAATTTCTTCTAAAATAGTTAATGAACAAAGTTTTTATTTAAACTTTAAACGAGAAACTATCCAGTCATTTTTTAAATAAAGCAATTCTTGGAATACTTAGTTGTCAAGATCTTATATTTTTTCAATACATTTTTAGAAGTTATCTATTTAGGTTAAAAATTTATTTTCTAAATCTTCTATAATTACATTACGATTCCTTCTATTACGAACTAAATTTTATTAAAGTTAATTAATATCAATTCTTTTGATATCACCTATCGATAATTAACATTGTTGACAAATAAGCATTTCATCTGATTTTAAATTTTTATCTATTATCACTTCTACTATTGGTCTGCTATGATTAAGTTTACAAGGAAGATTAACTATCTCTTCAAAGTTTACTTCACTTTGTTCCCATTATTTTTCTTCTTTATAATACATCAAAGCTGTCTCAAAATATTCAAACTTACTGTGATTCAATATACTTGTGGCTACATTAGGATGTGAAACCCTTGGCATTAACAATATATCAATTAAATCGTTAATTAGGCTCTTAATAGTATGTGAAGGCTACCATTTCGACTATAATTTTTTTGAATATTTACCTAATACCAACAATCACAGCATTCAGCTCTATCATTAAAGTATAAGGGGTGAAAAATTATTTTTTTTATTTTTATAAAAGGGTTTGAGAAAGGATAGTTTTATGGCAATTCAATCCAAAATGGAATTATCTAATTTTCCAAAGGGCTCGCAAGTCCAGACAATATGAAATGTATTCTAATATTAAAAATTGTTAAACTTCAATCCATCTTCTTTATCTTGATATACTTCAACCCCAGGAGTAGGATTTTCAGTTATATGAATGCTGATACATTATTTATTTTCAAAAAGCTATGTATAAATGATTTACTTTATACAAAATCATTTTTAATGAGAATTAGCATAAAGTTTAAAAAAAAAAATCATTATGAATTTTATTGGAAATATTAATTTTAAAGATAATAGTTATGATAATTTTCAACTATTATATAGAAAAAACTAATTAAAAGGGTTATCTTAAGTTATCTATTTTTTCAATTTTGATCTAATTAGAAAAGATTTACAAAAATTATATTTTATATATTCAATTTTATTGTTATTAATTTTCAGTTTTTAATTAATTTATGGTGGAATTTAATGTTAATTATAAATTCTAGAAGTAGGTTAACATTACAACCTATTAGCTGTAAAAATATTTTTTAATTATCTTTGTCATACAAAATAGAGTTAAATCTTAGTGATAAATCAATATGATATTCATGTACTATTTTTTGAAAGAGAAATCCAAATGACTTACTTTAAAAAAAAAATTAGAAACTTGGTTGATATGTTTTATTCTATTTTTTATGATTGAATATTCGATTACTTATACTTAAATACTTTAAACTATTTTATAATTAAGTTTTTTCATCAATATTATGTTGGACTGAGTCTATTATAAATTTATAAATGAATAATAACATTTTTCTCGGATAACTTAAAAATGCTCATGATATCAAATTTATTAAAGTGTATATTGTGTCATCTAAAAATTTGTGTTTTTCAAAATCATTTTTGAGGTATATTTAACCAATACTTCATACATCATTATCTAAATTATTGGATAATTTGATATAAATTGATAAATATTATTGTAAAAAGATTTGAAATACTTAAGATCCGAATACTCTATAAGACACAAATAAAATGAAAAATCATTATTAATATATATAAATATTGATAAAATATGTTAGAGTGTAAAGAATCAGATCATAATTAATAAGAGATAATATTAATTTGTATTAATATGAATTGTTAGTTAAAAAGAGGCTGTTGTATAGATTGTATTCAAATGCACAAAGCACATAAATCAGATTTGAAAACAATGAAATAAATTAAAGAATGGAAGAAAACTACAATTCAGAACTATGAAATATATTAAAAAAAGATAAGTTAGATTGTTGAAATAATGGGTTAAGCTGAAAAATACTTATCTTGTATGGGTGTAGATTTAGAAAAATAATTTGAAGTAATCATGGAAAATGAGTATGAAAAATAAGTTTATAATTTGTTAAGAATTCAACAATTATAATCATCTTTCAATTAATTAATACTTAATTTAGAAACATTAATGGAACCTATTTCTTAAATATTTTCAATTATTGAATCATCTTCAAAAGACATATGGGTTAAGGCATAGAATACTCTTAATATATCTAATAATAAATAACAAATTATTGGCTAAGAATCATAAATAATATAAGAAATAAAAATAGATTTAGGAAATTAAGAGATTAATCAAAAATAAAATAGAATGAAATTATTCAATAATTTAGATTTAATAAGGAAAGAGAATAATTATAATATTTATCAATACCCAAGATATTATAAATCATCAATTGATAAACTGGAAGACTATAAAACCATTATTCTAATTGGAACTTAAAGTTCAGAAAAATAGAAATTAATAAACTTATTTTTAAATTACTATCATGATATAAAATTATAAGATTCTAATATATTTGAAATAGATGATGATATTGATATAAATAAAGAGAGATAAAATGATGAATATGAATAAATGAAAGTATATTATATTACTCCTTAAAATGGAAAACCAGGACTTAGAATTATATATACATCTAATTACAGTGATGATTTAAATTATGATGATTAAAATATCTCTAATAGAATATTTGATGTTATCTATAATTCAGCTTTGCTTGATCAAAATATATTAATTGGTTTTGTAATTCCATAATAAGTATAAATAGGTACATTTTATATGTTAGAATCTGTTTTATGTAAATTATCTAATGTTTTAATCAAAAATATAGTGTTTTTATTTCCAGATTGTATAGATGATTATCCTAAATAGAAAAATATATTATAATCTAAAACTGATAAAATTAATGGTATACTATCTCCTGTTTTAAAAATGATACCAACTATGAATAATATATGGTATCTCAAATTTAATACTAATACTTTATTTGTAGAAAATAAAACATAAGAGAATTAACTACTTTGGGAGATGGGAAATGATAGTTTCAAATTGATTCTCCAGGATTATTTATAAAATAAAATTAATAGTAATAAACTTTTAGATATGAAGTCTAAATATGATCAATTTTTCGATTATATAAGTTTTTCATTATTTACATAAAAACTAGAAAAAAAGTTTTTGGAATTGTATAAGAGAGATAATTTTCATGTAGAACTATCATAGAAATACGAGAATTTATTAAAAAAAATGAAAGACTAGATAAATTTATAAAGTGAAAAACAAATTTATCTCAATAATAATGGTGAAATAGGTTATACTTATTAATTATTAAATGGAGAGAAGTCTGCTTAAATTATTTACTAAACCATGGAGAAGTTTGATGAGTGCATAAGTGAATAACATGAAATGTTATATTCTTTTTAAAATAAAAATGGAGATATATATGATAAAAATTTTGAAGAATTTTATGATCTGTTTAGAAATTTTGGTAATTTTATGATATAAGAATGTAATTCATGGAAATTATTTTTCAAATTTAATTCCATATTAACTTCTATAAATCACACTTAATGGAGATATTATGAACATTTAAATTACAAAGAATAAAGTTCAAAGCAAGAAGGATGGCAAACAAGAATGAAACTCTTAAGTAAAATAATTAAATTATATAATTATTTTGATGATTGCTATTCTAAACTACCTAATTTAGATCAACTAATTAAATAATGGTCTGACTAAAATTTTACGAATAAAAATTGTTCTTATGTTTAATATAATAAGTAATCAGTGTCTTCTTTCCGTGATAATATCCTTCAAGTGAGCCATATCAAATTATTTTAAAGACATCAATAAGTTTAAATTTAACAAAGAATATCTTAAAATTGTGATCAGGATTTTAAAAATTTCATTCAGGAAATTTTGCAATTTCTATTAAATTGATTATATTTATTTAAATTTTAGTTAAGATCGCATTTTATTAATATTTGATTAAAAATTTCTGAAGAAATGATTGTAGAGCAGATTATATTTTTTAAATCTATTATTTAATTTATAATCTCAATCATTTCTTTTTATATTGAATAATTATAATCTCATCATTTCATAAATATACAACAAATTTAATATTGAAATATCTTTGATATAAGAAATGGATTTTAAAACATTAGTTAAAAGAAGAAATTCATTATATTTATAAATATTTGAAAAAGTAATATATAAATTTCTAATATAAAAAAATAGAATTTGAAATTAAAATTATAGATTAGAATTAAAAATAATCTAAAGGAAAATATATTTCCAATATATCATCCATAAGGATTACTAATTTATTTTATATTGAATTGTGTTTTGACAGAACTTAGAATTGAATTTTAAGCATACAAGTTAATTTTTGAGATTTCTCTTTAATTCTATGCATTTGGATTCTAAATTAGTAGAAAATTTATTCATTTATATTGATCTTAATTTAATCAAAGATCCTACATTATAATTTCAATCTTTATTTATTTCTCCACTTTCAAAGAAATCAAAAAATAATTGTTCTCCAAAAAAGGAATTTAATAATAGTATCTCTGAATATACTACATATTTTAAATGGAAAATTGAAGGATCATTATGAATACCATATTATCATCATAATATAATAATTATTTTTATCATATATAAAAGAAATGCTTCATTTTCTTCTTTAAAGAAATTTTAAACCTAAAAAATTCATTTAAAATGGATGTATTTAGAAATTCAATTTGATAAAAAAGATTCTGATAAAATAAATCAATTAGCAGGCTGTGTACATATACATATACATGAACTAAGATTTACAGGAACACTAATAGTAAAGCTGGAAGAAAATCAAATTACTGTGAAATTGCCTTAATAATTTAATAAACTATAATTTTTATCTTATGAAATTTCAATCATAAGATAAATATTAATATGTTTTGGACATATTAATATTTTTACTAATTATCATAGTTGATTATAATAGATTATGGATGCATATTTTTTAATATATCAATGTTAAATTGGAATCTATTTTATGTTGATTATTCTCTCCCAAGATAATTGGCAAAAACTTTACAATTATATTTTAAATGTTTCACATCATACTCTAGCATTACAAAATAAACCACAGGATTATTATTAAAAATCATGATTACACTTTAGTTTATAAACATCCACCTTAGACACTTGTAAGATTGGAAATATTTAAAAAAATTTTAAATCTAAATATATTTCATTAATGGTAAAGATAGTTTTTGGAAGAAGAAATAAATGACATATTGATGTTTTATCTTATTTCTTAAAGATTTGGAAATATATTTATTATAAAATACAATTTTTAATGTGAAAAGTAAATGTATCTAATAAGGATCTAGTTTTCATCAATCAACTAGATTATTAGGCTTCATAAATCTTTCATTTAAATACCCTTAACTTTAATGCGAAAGCACTATATTATGATTTTTATATTTAAATGATAAAAGTGATCCTAAATATTAATTGATTTCATAAAAAACAAAAGATACTATATTGATTATACTTTCAATATAGCAATTAAAGATCAACAAGTTTTATATTAATCAAACAAATATTTATTCATTAAATTATTAAAAAAATTAAATTACTCTATTGATACATTAATTAATTTCAAAATTAGAGCAATAAGAATTTCTTCTACAATCAAATTTCTAATTTAATATCACTACTTTCAAAATCTATTAAAACATAAATATTTCTTGTTATTTCTAATATCTCAGACAAACTAATTAATCCTATCATTTAAATATAAATAGCCAATACTCATGAATCTTATAATATCTTAATATTTAGAAATTAAATTAAATTCAAAGAAACAATCTAAATAATGAATTAAATTTTAAATATCAATCATCTAATTCTTCAAAGAAATATCTAAATATATAGAGTCAATAAACTACTCTAAAAATTTAAACTTAACCACCCAGAACTTTCAGCATAATAAATCTAACCATATTTTGTGGAATCAACTGTGAAATATTTTAATTAAAACTATTCCTTGATTTGATGTGACAATTTCAAAAAACAGTACTTAATGCAATTAATATTTCTCTAAAAAGAACAATTTAAAAATCAAATTTTCTTAGTTTCAATTTAAGCTGCTCCTCCTATTCTTCAATAGCACTCTTTCTAGTTCTTCTGTTATCCAAACTTTGCTTGATTAACCAATAATAAGTTTATTATCTATCTATCTGAAACAATAAAAGATAGAAAACATATAAAAATAAGTATTTAATATGGTTGGTTGAAAAATTTGAGGTATCTAAGAATTTTAGAAAAAATGATTAAAATATTAAGATAAATTTATTATATAAATAAATCTGATAATGAATGATATTTAGTTTTCTAATTACTTTTAATATTCGTATCATCTTAACATATAGCATGTAATTTAAGTTTATAGTCTGCTCTTAATCATAGTGAATATAAACTATTTGTATAGTTTAGAGATTTAATGACTATCTTTATGTTAAGAATTAATTCTATAACATATTTATTTAGAATTTCCTCTTAAAAAGTCAAATATTTTGATTTATTAATGATTACTTAGAGTTTCAATATTTTAAAATGAATTTTTATAAACTCCACATTCATCATAAGATAAATTCCCTGTATTTCCTAAAAGATTCTTTATTCTTCTTAATAATTTTCCACTATGTAATAATCTAACAGTATATTCTGTTTCATGATGATCTTCTTATTCAATTATCAGAAAGTTTTTAAAAATGACTAATTATGTTCTAACATCAATTTATTTTTTTCTTTATTTAATAACTTTACAATTTTCAAGATAAATTATATATTGGTATAACTCTGTACTTATTAAAGCAAATTTCTATAAAAATGATTTGAAATATAATATAAGATTAAAATTGAATTTTAGATCTATTTCTTTTTCCTATTGCTAATTGATCTACTCTGCATTTATATTAAATATTTTCTTATTTTTAATTATATAATAACTATTGATTGTATCCATCTAAAAAATAAAACTTGTTTCTTCTAAATTCTTAAAGATGTACTCTTTCTTTTATTAAATATCTATTATTAAATAACCATCCCAATACCCTTAACATATTAAAAAATTTGAATCTTTAGAAAAATGAAAATTTATATATAAAAATCCTCTACATAGTAAACTACTTTCAAAAACAACTTTGTTTGATTTCACTTCGTATAATTTTATTCTTAAATCACTTTTTTATTTCCCTTTTATTCTCCTTGATGGATTATTCTATTTTCTAATTTTGTCTTCAAAAATGGCTAAATATTAAAGATCATAGGATAATCCAAAATCAAATATGCGAAAAAAATCATCAAAATTATCATACTATTTATCATTTGATTGATTTTGTCCTTTTATTTGGTTATCTTATAATTCTTCATTATTAACCTCATATTTCCACATAACTATAGCATCCATTGTTCTATTTTTTAATTCCATATTATATATATTAATATATTTATTATTTAAATAAACTTAATCATCTATTTATATTTAATAATTGAGAATATATTATTATTTAAAGTTCACTTATAGAGATGCAAAAAGAAATAAACTCATTTTACAATCTTATATATCATTGTTATTTTATCAAATAGAGAAAGAAGATAATTTTTAGAATTACTTAAAAATTAACATTATTTGTAAATGAGTTCATATTATTGAATAAAATATAATGTATATAATATTGATAGTAAAATGAATTAAGATTCATTATTCTAATCTTAAAATAGAGAAATTTAAATAAAATCTTATAAGATTAAATATACAATAATTTTTATTATTCACACATTTATGTATATATTCATTATACATATTAAATGTTTCTAATATCAAAAGTTTATATACTTTTTTCGTTCTGAAATAAAACACAATATGTAGAGTCAAATCCTAAATTAAAAAGATAAATATATTTATAATTATTTAACTTAATATTCTTTTGTTATTTCACAATATATTACTAAAAAATAACTTAAATGTTCATGTGAAAAATTTCAATTAACGAATATAATGTTGAAAATTTAACTGAATAAGCATAGGAGGAACTTTATGCAAGTGAATTAAAAGCTTGAAAACACTTTTTATTTGTGATTGGAATATAGGTTAAGTCACAATTATTTAATTTTGAAAACAGGCCTTCTAGATCAGAAAATTTCATAAACATTTAGGTCCTAGATGATTAATAAACTCCAAAATAATGGCAATCAATAAGCCCAGATTGAAAGGACAAAATGATTTAGGGGAACGTCAACTAATAAATTGATGTTCCTTCCAAGTAAATATTAATGATTAAAAAAATGGTTATTTCATAAATATTATAAGGTTTATTCTATACAATGGAGAATTTAAAGGATTAGATTGGGAATTCAACTGTTAGTTATAAAAAGGAATGAATTTTGGCCATGATTTGGTATATGGAACAATTATTCTTGATAGAAAATACTTAATTACTTGGGATTATAAATCTCATAGGACCTTAATAAAATATAATTATTTTATCAATTAATTTGAGCATGTTTTATAAAGAAATAATAATAATTAAAATCATAAGTTAACTATTAAATTTTGAGAAACTTATAATAAAATGAAGAGATATCGAAATATAAATTTGATTGTAAAAAAATATTAAAAATTTGATATAATTTATCAAATATTCATTTATTCAATATCCAAAATATTGTTGACTGCTGCAACCTAATTATAGGTTATTTAATTAACATATCACTAATTATTATTGTAAATTCACTTGTTGGTAAATATCTTGGAAAATAAGATATTTAATTATTAAAATTATGACCTTACATATTAAATTTCTAAGAATAGCAATTATTGCATTTATTAAATTACCTTTTTATTTTCTTACCTAAAGAGCATTTAATTATTACATTTATAAGCAATAGAGAAATGGATTTGTCAATAATAGAAGTAAAAGTACCAATTTAATTAAAAATTTCAATTGTTTGTGGTAATTCTACATAAACTATAGGTCTATTTAGAGCTTATAAATCAATTTTTTATGAAATTCTTATCTTCTAGGATTGAAGTGGTTGATAGAATGTATTTATTAAATAAGACATCCAAGTTGTTAAATGTGTATGCTTTACAAGTTTGTCCACTATATTAATTATTAATTTTACAAGAATCTACTTTACAAGACACAGTTGAGACAGTATAAGTGTAGGTCCATCTAAATTGGAAATAATAATCATTATCAAATATGAATCCAACAATAGGTTGTCAGAATCTATTTATTTGTTTATAAATTGAAATTTGAGCTAGTGTATAATGTGATGGTTACTGTTTGAGATCTAATATATTAATACTATTTACTATCCAATTTACAAATTTTTCTGAGGGATTGGATATATCTACTATTTCACTAATGTTTGTCAAACTAGATAACTAAATATATTAAAAATAATACTGAAATAACAAAATGAATGGGGTTAAAAAGTTATATACTTGTAAGAAATATTATTCCATTTTCTGCATTTGCATTTAAGTGTTGATAAGTCTTTGACATAGTTGTCTTATCAATATTAAAAGCATTTATAACTTGAAATCTCGAATCATCAATAGCAATCTAAATTTCAATGAATTAATCCTTATTGATTTTTGACAATTAATTTAAATAATAAAGTCTTAATTAAAGCAACACTTGTTATTGATAATCGAAATTCTATATTGATAGATTCAAAATCTCTCAAAGATTACTGCATAAAGACTTGGGGAATATTTTAAAATGCTCAGTTGAAGTTAATCGTCCAAGATAATTGATAGAAGTTTTTAAACATAAAACTAGCAGTAGATGTATAATAAAAATCACTATTAAGTCCACTATCATAATTGATTTATCCTAAAGTTTAAAGAAATAATATGAGAATAAACTTCATTTATGATAATTCATAAAAAAAAAGGTTAAAAATGGTTTGTGTTATTAAATAATAGATGTAGTTTAATATGACATTTAAGAATTAATTAATTGCAAATTTTTTTGATTTATAAGTGGTTTTGAAAAGAATAAAATTATGTTTTGATAAGAATAATTATACAGATGCATTATTAGATTTATCAAACTCTTATTTAGATATTTGTTTTTATTAAAATAAATCCATTCCAATTTCATTTAGATTCAATAAATTTTAAAACATAGCTACATTAAAAATATTGATTAAGCACTTACAATATATAAAGATCATATTTTAATGAAATCAAATATAAAATCATAATTCAATTTCACAAATTGTAATAGTTTCAAAATGAAGATTAAGTATATTATTTAATATTAACATATATTTCCATATCATTTAGCAAGTGTTAAAATAACTATGTTAATATAAATTAGATATATTAAATGTCAATGTTACATATTTCAACTTTAAAGTTTAGCATTTATCTCAAAAAAAATCATTGTAATAATTCATTAAATATTTTCATAATGTTTATCATAAAGAATTTTTAAAGATATAGAGTAAGAATATAATTTAAGAGTTCAAAAGTTATTTAAAAAATATCAGAAAAACTTTTAATATTATTTTGAATAATCATTATCATTTTCTTAATTTCATATAGATTTATAATTGGAAAATTTGGGAATGTCTTCCTTGCATATTTGAGTTACTTCCGAATATAAACTGTCATCTAAATCTGGATTATGTAATTCTCCATTTAATTGATAAATAAGAATATTTCAAAGCCTTATTATTTAATAATTATTATATTGATTTTTCAATGAATCAACAATAGTAAAACAATACTTAAAATATGAACTCAAGATCTTTTAAATATTCAATAAGTAATGGGAAGAGAATAAAATTAAAGACTTGGTGTAATGCCATAGCTATAAATCATAATAATACATTTATGATTGTTGCCTCTGATAGGAATATTTTAGCCTTTTAATTTAAAAATTGATAAATCAAATAGTTCTCTTTAATTCAAAATCATTCAAAAGATATAACTACTCTAAATATTTTTAAACATAAGTCCCAATTTATTTCAGGATCTTAAGATAATTCCATAATTATTTGTTCATAAAATCTCCCATCGAATACTAAATACATAGCTAAATTTAATTGAGATCCCTCAATAATCAGGTCTTTATTGATACATCCAAGCTAAGAAGATCTGATAATTTATTCCTCTCACAATATAATCAATTTTTGATTTTTATCATCGATATCATCTATTATCATTTTGTCTCTTCTTTAGACTATTAATCATCACACTGATTATAGGATTATCACTAAATTAAGAGGGCACAAAATTAATATCTTGTGCTTAGGAAAAATTATTTTGATATTGGAAGGATCTAATGTGATTTAATCGAAAATTAAATAATAGATACAAGTTTAAAGTTATGGATATCGAATATCTTTTAAAAGCGATAACATGTTTGTGTTGTAACCAAAATCATCTCACTATCTTGAAGTATATTAATATGACCATTATCTTTGTAAATATATAAAAACAAAGAGGAGATCTGTTGCAGGACATTCACAAGGATGCAATTGGTATTTTCCATCATAATTCAATTCATCTAAATAATTATTACTAGTTAAAAATGGGCATGTCTTACATCTATTTAGATTTGAAATAAATAATGATGAAATTGTTGAAATAATAAAAGAATAGATTATCAATTTTAGCCCTAATTAATTTTGACAAGGATGTATATTTGAAACATTAAAAGATAATTGAGATTATTTAATTACTTGCGATGAAAAATCTTAGTAAATTTAAAGAAGAAGATATAAATAAAGAATAAAAAATTAAATACTTTTGATTTAAAGAGCACAATATGATTATAATTAAATTAATCTTAGAAACAGATATATATAATATATTGGTTTTATGGCTTACTTATCAATTAATTGCTTTTTTCATACATAATATGACAATTATTATTGATTCAAATATATAAATAATAATATATTATTTCAAAATACATTGTGTTTAATAAAGTATTAATTAAATATATTATCAAACAGAAAATTCATGAAATTCTTATAATCAATTAATATTTCATTTCTAAAATATATAAGCATCATTATTTACTAATGAAATTTTATTATAATAGTTATTAATCAATATATTTAGATATTCATTAATCTTCAGATTCTATAAATAATTATACCTACTGAGAGTATCTCTCAGAGATAAATAAAATGAATTTTTGAGAGAATTATGACAAGTAATTTTAACTTAGAAATGTATATTATTATCTAGCCTTAATAGAAATTTAAATTAATCCTCCAAAAATATCCTATACACCTCATTTAATTAAAACAATTTCAACAGTTTTTTTTTTTTTTAATAATTTCAGAAAACAAATATGATGTTAGATGGATCATTTTTTCTTATTGAGCTAGTCTAAATTAATAAAGTTATAAGCCACATTCTTTAGAATTCATTTTAAGACCTTATCTTAGTTTCATAGAGTATAAAATTGATGAACATATATTTCTTCTTGGTTTTTAATTTTACATTCTAAATACTATCTAAATTATAAATTAAGATTTTCTCTAAGATTTTGAATAAAGAAGATAAAAATTAGATTAAGATTAAAAATCTTACTCTTTATATTATTGATATAATAATCAATAGACAAAATTAAAAAAAGTTTAATTTAATATTTTCTAATAACCTTCAAAAAATATGGTGTTATAATTTGGTTCATTAATACTTTTAATTCAACTAGTTTTGTGTGTGGTAACATATTATTAACATATTATATAATTACTTATAAATAAAAAAGCAGAGTCTTTATTATTTTAGATTAATGGATGAAATATTTTGAATATACTCAGAAATATCATTCTTTATTCAAAATCATTAATGAACAAAATTTATTAATTATTATAGGGATATCATATGATAAATCATCAATCTTTAGCTATTATTTTTTATAATATCTAGATGATATGTTTTTCATCATATTAATAATCTTTTTGATTATTATTAAATTATTATTCTTAGCAAAACTTCATAAAATTACATACATGATATCCACATGAATAACCATTAATTTATTTACCTGATTCTTTGTGAATTTATTTTAATATAATATTTATCTTAAGGACATCTGCCAAAGTATTTATTAAATTTTGATTTTTTATTTAAAAATTATTAAAATTTGATGTTGAATCAAAGATCTAAACTTATTCAACTTCAGCATCAAATAATAGAAAATACCAATGAAAATTATTTATGTTGATTGGAAATCCAATTTTCTTATAAATTCTTGTTATTTCTAAATTCATTTATGAATATTCCAGTAATTCTTATTCTAATAAATAAATTGCTTTTTTTTTATCAAAGTTTACTCCAAAGTTTGTAGTTAAACTAGTTGGTAAAAATAATATACGTTTAATTTTCTATCTCTCTTAAAATTTTAGATTAAAATATTTATCTTCACTGTCTAAATTAAGCTTAAGAACATAACTATCAATAATACTACTAGTTATCCATCTTTTATTTTTTAATATATCCAGATCATTATTTGATATTAATTAATTATACTTACACCAAAAATTTTAGACTTAGACTTATTATTTTCGCTTGATCTTTTAAGTATTATACTATATTCCTGTTGTCACATCTGTAATAATAATAATTTTTTAGTTATTTCTTTTAGTCTATTAATTTGTATTCTGATCGTTAATTGTATTCTTTGGTTCAGATATATATTCTCCATTTTTAAACTCACCAATGTGTTTTATAAATGTTGACTTTCCTTAATATTCTTCACCTTATCCATTTAATTGAAATTTTCTTTCTTTCAAATTTATTAAGAAAATCCCTCTTTATAATTTATACTTTGGATTGAAATGAATATCATATTCAGTTAAATAAATAAATCCTTCTATTTCATATATATTTACATCTTGGTAATTTGAATCTTTCATTTTACTATTTATTTTATTATAATAAAACTAGATATTTTTGAATAATAGAACATTAACATATTTCTCTTTTATATTTTTAATAAGATCGTAATTAAATTTCTAACAATCTTTAACCCAGCAGTCATCAACATTCCCATCTAGACTATTATTTTTTGCTCCTAGATCATCCTTATTTTTTTCTGAATCATCAAACTTATTATCAGTTTAAGTATTCTTGGGTTGTTCCTTTTTCAAATCTCTTTCGGATTCTTTTTCGATATCTTATGAAGAAGTCTAGAATTTTTAATTGTTTTAATGTTGATCATCTTCCTTTTTTTATAAAAGAACATTTAAAAGACATCCCATTTTTTATAATAATAATCCAAATATTATATATAAATTATATACAAATATTAAATGGATTTCCCTTATAATCTAAAGATTAAGAATTAATGGCCAATATACTTTTAGGAAGGATTTATTAAAACTTGATTAATATTCAAAGACAATGAAATTTAGGTCTAAATAATTAATATAGCAATATTTATAAAATCAATTATTAATATTATTATATCATTGATTATTAAATCCTTATCTATTTACTTCTATTATATACAAAATCCTTAATAATGAAAATAGTTTTAAATATTTTGGTTTTATTTTAATTTGTTTGAAGAATGAATTTATCTATTCTAAGTCTTATTTTATTAGAATTTTGATTATAAAATTGGTAACCTTTAGATTGTATAAGAGTTAAAATTTCTTTAATATATTTGTAAATATATAATAATGTTTAATATATTTCTTTATTTTAAATTATTCATTTTACTATTTAACAAACATATAATGAAAATTTATTTGCTTTTTAATTTTTTAAAAGTAATTTGAAGGATTCATAATGAATTATTATTACAATATAATATTTTTATATATTCATAATATATAAAATAAATTAATTCTTTTATTATTTATATTACCAATTCATTAAAATATCACACTTATCTAGAATCAAACTTATTCTAACTTAAACTGAATAAAAATGTTTATTGTTTTTAAAATTAAGACTTTAATTTGAGAATTTGTTTCTATTACTATAAATTAATTATAATCTTAAGATTTAATAGGAAATAAAGCTTAGAAAATTTTTGAATAATCATAATATTAAATTAATGAATTTTTAAGGTGAAGAGAGAATGATTAAGAGAATGATTACTAGTTTAAATGGAATGAATAAATAAAACTCTAAAGGAAAGAATAATTAGTAAAAAGGTTAACAAAATCCAACAAAAGTCATTTAGAATGCTATCCAAAATACTGCAAAGAAAGAACAAAATATGAATAAGTAAAAATGACTTCATCAATATATAAAAAACAAGATTTCATTATTTATTTTACATATTTTTCAACTCTTTGTTATTTAAATTAATGATCAATGAAAAAATAACATTATTTTTCATTGGTTTAACAAGCAAGCTAAAATTTTAAATTTAAGATGATAATTATAAAACAGTCTATTGTTATTGTATGAATCTATAATCTCAATCATCAATATATTTATATAATGACTTTAGATAGATTTTGATGAATATAGAAATGATTAAATTATTTTTAATACTAAACCAAATAATTTTTTTAATATAAAATTTTAAGTGGTAATTATGAAGTAACTCTAGTAATAACTTTTAAGGCTTAATACTCTAAAATCTAATTAAAAGGGGTAGATTAGTTTATTTTTATCCTAATTGTGTGTTTCCTAACACTAAAGCCTTATAGTTCACCACTAAATAAATGGAATTAAAATAAGTTGTTTCTATTAATAATAAGTAGCTATACATGTTTAATGAAGCATATAATACTGAATTTAAAATTTGACTCCTTGCTTTTGGTACATTTGAGATATAAATTAACTAAAGAATTTGGTTGTCTATGGGAAAGAGACCTATGCCTTAATATTAAACATGTGAAGATGTATTTTAAGGGTTTTAAAATTCTAATGAGTCTAGATATAAGGTTTAAAAAAGATTATTAAATTTGGCTTAGAAATTAATCTAATTTGTCCTAAGATATAGGAGCAGTAAATACTTATTGAAAAAGAAATTGCACTATCTAAACAAACTTTGAAACTGACAATAGAGTTTCACAATTAACATATATAAAAACTGATAATAACAAATACGATTAATTATGCCAAGTCTAAACTTAATCCTACTAAAACTACGCCAGAATATTTAGATCTAAAGATATAGACTTACAAAGCTAAATGTATAGAACTCTCCTTAGAATACTTTAAATTTCAATAGGTTAAAAAAGAAATATAAGTAAAATAATAAATAATCATATGTCTAATGTAGTAATGGAATATGAATTTAATTTTGATACCTGTCTTCAATAATTAATTTTAATTAAGAACTATTAACTACAATATTAATTAAGTGGGAACAAGTTCATTGTGGTTTATTATATATTAATAGAATACCAAATATTTCATGATATAGTAGACAATTACTGCTTAATCTTCACTCTTGTAATGAGTGATGATTTAAAATCTGCAATTAAGTTTATGTATTTTTTATGAATTGATCTTTAACAAAAATATGCAGCTTGTGGTAATATTAAATATTTAGAGACACAAATAATTGTGGAAGAATATAAAAAGAAGAATCTAAAAATTAAATGATTTTTAAAGTTTTTGGATGAATTAAGAGGCTTATGATAGTGAACTGCATATGATCATACAGTATCTATATAAACATTTAGAGTGAACTGCTTTTTTAGAAATGAATCTTCAGTTCTAATTGTAAATGATGTAATACATTATATTTTTGAATGTAAAACCTTTGTCCCCTGAGTCTAATAACATTAAAAGAAAATTAAGTTTTAAAATTAATTTTGTTAGCCT